GTGCTTGCAAATATTAGCATCCGCCGTGGGTATACAACTACTGGAAACTCTCAACATCGTTGGGCTTATGCAATGACATAGCTTCGTTAGAGATGAAACACCAGTGGTAGACTTATCACATGCACTAAGCTGAGCCAGACAACCGTGTTGCCATGCAGGCGTCATAAGGCATTGTTTCGAGAACGTGCTTTCGAACAAAATCACATTACATTACGTAAAAGGGTATTATGACGTATTTTTAAAGTTTGTGGTGCTTTATTCTAAAGGTTTTCACAAGGTTGGTTTTGTCTGTTGCATTTCATAAACATTACAAGCTCGTTCCAAGTGACAATTGAATTTATCTTTAAAACCCCGGGAAATTTATGTTCCTAACATACTAGTCATCCTTTAAAGATGTGCAATTTGCTAAAAACATCCCAAAGGACAACATGTTTTTCCTTTATGTTTTTGTGCTTTTACAAAAATAACCAGGAACATTTCATACATGACTCTAACCAATTGTTTTCGACGATTGAACAATTACGGAAAGTGTTCAAGGACCAGTTTATGCAGATTCTATAGTATTTCCTGGTTGGCTAATAACAGCAGTGTCCGCACAGGCCAAGGCTTATATGTGTGTCCCCTATAATATCATATCTCTGTTGTCTGATATTTATAAACAAATGATTCAGGGTTGTAATTCACTTTCAGAAAGGGAAACTGACTGACTGAGTGAGTTTGGATTTACGCCGCTTTTAGCAATATTCCAGCAACATCACGGCGGGGGACAACTGAAATGGGCTTCACACATTGTTGTAATGGGCTTCACACATTGTTGAAATGGGCTTCACACATTGTTGTAATGAACCAATCACCTGGCAATCATTGTTGTAATGAACCAATCGGTTGTAATGAACCAATCATCAATTATGAGATTTTAACCAATTCCCAACACTATTTGTTATGCAATGAATCTAAACAGTTGGGTCTAAAGATACTGTTAGAGTGTGATGCTATGTGTATCCTAGTAATATGGGTCATACAATTTGTATCCCGATACAATACTTTCATTTCATAATTTGATATTCTCTCCCTTTCTGGGGACGGTGGTGTAGCCTAATGGTTAAAGCGTGGCTAGTCATGCCGAAGACCCAGGTTCGAATCCCCAGATGGGTACAATGTGTGAAGCCCATTTCTGGTGTCCCCCACCGTGATGTTGCTGGAATATTGCTAAAAGCGGTGTAAAACCAGTCAGTCAGTCTCCCTTTCTGAAAGTGAATTACAACCCTAAATCATTTGTTCATAAATTTCAGACAACAGAGATAGGATACTATAGGGGACACACATATAAGCCTTGGTCTGTGAGAACACTGCTGTTATTAGCCAACCAGTCCAGTGATCAAAATCATGAGCATCGATCTGACCAACCGATCCCCTTAGTCACCTCTTACGACAAGCATAGGCTGCTGACACCAATTCTAACCCGGATCTTCAGTGAGTATGGAGAGGGAAGAAAAAGGGAGGGAAGCAGTTGTGAACATGGTGAGTGAATATCCCCTATTGAATACCTGGAAATGTTCTTTTACAACATATATTGCCTAGTGGTATGACAGTTCATCGATACGCATCGATCCATGGGCCGTCGACACAATGAATCGTTACAAAGTTTTACACTGTCGTATATCCCGATACGATACTTCAAATGGGCCACGATACATCGATGTTTCAGGGGTGGAAATAACTTTAAAATTGCTAGTGTACTCAGGTAGAGTGGCACACGTAAAATCACTTGCCCTGATAATTTTTCCACTATACCGGCCGTTTTCTTGTTGATTTTTTAAATAAACAACATAATTAACATTGGAAATCAACTGGACACCGGTACAGTGTGATATACAAATTTGCTTGCCCGACAGAGAAAAAACACTGGACTCGGACGTCGGGCAATGGGTTATTTCCACCCCTGATGTTTAACTTCGAATATTGCCGAATCGCGATATTTATGAAGAAAAATACTTACTTTTGTTTGATGATTAAACTATATAAATGCTTACTTATTTTCCCTTCATAAGTACACATTTTCTCGGAAATTCTTACGTCAAGAACTGTGTCAGACATAGTACTCGCATATTATTAACATTCCGTGTATAAACTTAATTATCTCGTTTCCGAATGAACATTGAAAACACTGGCAGAATTTGACGAAATACTGTAATATGGTTTTGTTTTGATCTTAAGGTGTTTAATAGTTGATGTTAGAATTAAAGATTTTAGTATCATGATACATATCGTATCGCCACCTTTATAATCGGGATTCATATCGTATCGCAGCTTCAGTGCACAATACTTTGGCAATATATTGTCGTGACTAAAATTTTAGTATTGTGATGTATCCTATCGCAGGTTGTATGCCAATTTCAGCACTAATATTGCCACAGTCTGATTCAGTAAATATTCCAGATATAAATCAGAGCAAACTGAGAAGCACTATCTTCCTGGTCACACGTTATGTAACACAAGACTGCAAGCGTAGCTGACTCTAACATTAAATGTAAGGAACCATTCAGTAACAATATCCACTGTATCAAAATCATGGGTGTCAAAAAATAAACTTTCCCAAATGAAACCGATAACAGTAAACCAAAACAAGGTTACGCAACAGTAGTATTTTCTAAATTATTAACATAGCCGACATATTTTCTGAGCTCACAATGCAAGTGCTAGTTCAAGCGTTTACTTTCACATGTCACTAGTCAAGTTTAGTGAAGTATCACAGGATCTTCCAACCAACTTTCCTGCTCTGGTCAGAATGAAAAGGAAACAGGTCAGCAATATAACTATTATCAAGATACAGTTATAAAAGTAGATCAAGTTATACATATCAAACAAATTCTAATTTGAGCATGGAGTTGCAAGCACAATAGTCTGTCATGCGCTAGTAAAGGGTTGTATGAAACATCAGATAGAAGTCCAATGCTCAGAATCCAGCAGACACAAACGCCTTTGGTTTGGGATTGAAATCATGTAAGTTGTAAAATTATGTTTGATAATGCACGATCCACGTCAACTCAAAGATTTTATCAAGAGCCAATTTTGGACTCTGAAGTTAGTTTAACACCACTTGGAAAGTGATTTGTATTGCTGAATGTCAGCTCATTGTGGAGAGAAAGATGTGAGTGATGGAGGTGAGATGAAACCAACAACCCAGGTGAGAAAATGACAGAAATGTGGAAAGAGTATAACCAAATTTTGATCAGATACACGGACAATGAATCAAAATCAAAAACTGACTTTACATATTTCAGCTGCAACTTTAGACACTCCACATAGTTCAGTAAATAGCACATCGCTGATCGGAAATGTTGTCCTTTGCAATAAATATAAGTTTGAATTTTCACATGCAGTATGCAAAGTGATGTCATCATTCATAAGCTGCTTTGTTCAGAATGGTGTTTTTGTTAGTAAGCCATGAATACATGTGATGTAAAATATGTTGGTTTGGACTTTTGCATATATTTTTGTTTAACATTGATATTAATGAAAATCAATTAATACATTTTTAACAATTAGCAAACTCTATGATCTATACAACCAGCCCTTGTAATATGTCATGCCTTGAAAAGTTCAGTTGGAAATACAGAAGTCAGTTTGAAAATGTTGCTGACATCCTGATACATTACAGTAAAGTGAAACATCATCTACTTCTTATGCTGATCATGATGACATCCTGGACTTTGAATTCCAAAAGGTTTCAGTGTCAAGCAAAATGGTTTCACTCTAAATACAGTAAGGGCTTGCAACAGTTCAGTTTCAATCATAGCTATGATCATGATTATAACATAAGCATAAAATAATCACCCAGAAACTGAGTGCTTCACAAAGTGTGATAACAGTATCCGATACCACTGTACACTCAGACACCAACGTTGTCTGTAACAACAAACAAACTGATTACAAGCAGTGTCAACTGATGATTTCCCTACTTCCTATTGATACAAATGTTACCAACAGTGTGTCTATTTCACATTGAGAAATTCAACAATGTTATCAAAATGATCACACAATTTTACTGAAGCATGTGTCAACTGTCAGGCTCTCAAGGCCACTGATAATCATTCTAAGAGCTGAAAATTAAACTTGTTCTCGTGAAGGCAAAAATATATATCTGGTTAGTTTTGATATAACAGTCAGATACTATTGAAATAGTCATGATAGCTGTGTAAATGTCATAATTCAAACAAAATTTATGCATTGATGGTCTTCCTTCAGAACATATTTTGTGAAAGCATTCATGTTTAAACATCATCTAAACCAGATTTTCACATATTAAAAATATTTAAGTGGGCATACTTTGTACACAATTTCTCTTCTTCTTGGCAGTGAGGGACAAGGAGGGCAATTTCATGATTTCTTTTCATTTATAAAAGACATTCTTCCAGAGTCTTTGAAGGGCATTTAGAAAAAGTGCAAATAAGTCCTGAGGAAATGTTATGACTATATTTCAGTGTCCAGGAATATGAACTGACCTAAAACCCTATTTAGGCTTAATTTTCTCTGTTTAAAACTGCAGTTATTTTATAGAAAACGGTTCCATCAATTTTAATTCAACCAGAGAAAACCATCGTTATTTCGTGAAATTTCGTGAAGTGTCAAGAAAGGTTTATGGCCCAACTAGAGACGAAGTTGACGGTCTCTGTTGAGACTAATTGGCGGTATCAAGTGCCCCACTGATAGTGTTTACCTAATGTGTGGCTTTTGGAATATGTGTTAGTCATTCCAATTCATAGACAAATGTGAAGATATGGATAAATTTTAAATTTCAGATTTCAAATATGTCATGTGTCAACATTTCAAATGCATAAACATTCGACTTTAGAAAGCTGTACAGGTCCGTACCAGGAAGAGATCACAGGTTGTCAATTAACCCATCTCATCTGCAAAACACTGGGGTCTCCCAGTGAAATTATTAATGAAAAAATAGTTCACAATTTACAAATAACAACAATATTAAAGATATTTACCATGTAGTAGGAGGTGCCACTGTCAGCCGCCATGTTGGATATGAGAGCCGCACTTCGCTCTCAAAAAGCCGGAGAAAAGGTATTTATTGTGAATTTCTGTCCAATTCCAAGGAACAGACACTTAGTACATCCGATATTGGTACTTCTTAGGATTCTACTTTTACCGATTAAGATTAAATTTCCTTGATATGACAACTTTTTGTCACCTTTTCAAGCGACAGTTTCTTCTCTAGTAAGCTGACATTAACACGGTCATGTGCTTGATATTATCCAATCAGACTGAGCGTAACATATGCTTCTCACGGGAGCTTGAAGTGCATTACCAGATCATTCATTGGCTACCGAATATTTCCTCCGTTGAAACATATATCACACTGAAATGATATGATGCATGTGCCACAAACAAAGATGAACAAAACGTCAAACAAAAAAACACATATGTCATAAAAAAATAACAGTATTTTCTCCGAATGATTATTTGTGTCACTCTTAATGGTAACTGGGGGTAAAGATCGAGCACGTATGTGGTTTCAATCAACATAGTGAATAACAATATAAATACCTATACAGATCTACATTAACATTGTCTTGTGGTTATGTATGGAATGTAAGGTTACATGGTACAGCCAATGTATATTTTATCATCCCCACATAGACTGACAGAAGTATAGTCCCAGAAGTATAGTTACTTTATAATGAATATAAAAATAAAAACATGTTTCTCTACGAAACAAGTCTAAATGCAGCCCCAAAATGTTCTGAAGGTCTCGCCCAGAGAAGTGACAATCTAGATTACCCAGGTCATTCTAGACTTGCGTAGGACTCCTATTTAATCTATTCTTTTAGGCTCTGGGAGACAGACTAAACCCCGCATAGCGATTTACACGCAAAAAGGAGTGAGTGAGTGAGGTGGGCATTACGCCGCTTTTAGCAATATTCCAGCAATATCACGTCGGGGGACACCATAAATGGGCTTCACACATTGTGCCCGTCTGGGGATTCGAACCCGGGTCATCAGCGTGACGAGCTGACGCTTTAACCATTAGGCTACCCCACCGCCCCCGCAAAAAGGAGATTATCTATAATATTGTCACAAAAAGCTAATGGGAATTTTTTTGTTGTTGTTCTGATTTTATGTATAACACATTTAAACTTCATGATAACACATTTAAACTTCATGATAACACATTTAAATATACTTTCAAACCTAACGAAATTGAGAGGTTAACAAATGAACTACGAAGATCATGTATTATCTATCCCGAGTGAATGGATGTCAATAATCCCGAGCCCAAAGCGATGAACTTATATATTCACGACTAATCTATAGTCCATTTCCAACTAGGTATTTCTATATATTTGTCACTGATATTTTAACAGAGAAAATGTTGGAAAATATGTTTGAAGCATCAAAACTGCAGAGAAAATTCATCCTGTTTCTAATGACGTAATGTGAGCAATTTGTGACGTCAAGATGATGGGACGACGTTGTGTATTCTTTCTCTCTATAACGAAGCACTGTGGCGTCACAGGGCTTCATCTGACCAATCACATCGCTGAAATGCACATGTGCATATTTATTATTCTTTCCCCTTGGGTGTTATTTTTGCACTTTCACATATACTGACATCTGAAATGGCTTACCTTAAATATTTTGGAAAGGTGGCAGTATTAGCTGTTTGTAATAAAAAAGTATTTTTCTAGGGGATTATGATTATTGTATTTAGGGAATTACTATTTCCACCGGGAAAACTGAACAGTGAATTTTCGTTTTTGAAATTAATTTCGCGCGTGAGTGCGTGTTCCGAATAGTCAGCAATGTCCACAGATGATTTCGTTGACGTTGTTTTTCTCCGTATATTTTCGGTCTATAACAACATCATTCTTGTTTGTCCATGGTTCATTGGAGATGTTTGTCTGTTTTCGCATTCCCATTTAATATATACTCACACGCAAAAGTAACGCAAGTCAAGTATAAAGCAGATATGTATGTAATTTTCAATATTAAACACAAGAAATGCCAACAGGGTCAGACAGACAAAAAAACTGAGTGAAGACATTTCATTGGCTACTAAGACTGATGACATCATTAAGTTTTCGAAAGGTTAAGGGGTTGACAAGAGCTGGAGTTTATGGGTAATGTGCCGCTCTTGTCGAGGGTTTGTGACCCTTAGACGACCGCTCCGAGGAAGGTCATCTGTGGTCTTTGTGTCGTTGTATCGATGCTGGAGACGGTAAATAGTGGTTATGTTTACGTCGAAATGACGAGCACCATTATGGGCAGACACTCCAGCTTCCGAACGTCTGATAGCCTGGTTTCTTTCAATTTGAGTTAAGCGTGGCATTGTTGAACAAGGAGTAATAGACCTAATTTTTGTGCAGTCTTATACCCACTAATGGTAGTGACAATTCGTGCATGTTGGATATCACGAGAAGTATGTGCATGATACCCACATGTTCATTGGTATGGTGCGTTTTGGTTATTCCTTCTATTGATGTGTTTTTGCTTGGGCCTTCCAAAACGCAACAAAAATGATTGAAAACACCATCAGACTTCACTATAGGCCAAAAACCCATATCAATTCGGGTCCGAGTTTGTTTCCTATTTGGATAAAAAAAACTTGCGTTTCTTATGCGTGTGAGTATATATGTAATGGTTTCTACAACAATGGTTGTGGAAAAATGCTATGAAACATATGTTATATTTGGGATTACACTTTCTTAGTAAAGTACAGATTCTAGTGCTTTAGTTGGGTTGAGTCCCATCCGGGATTCGAACCCACACCTTCAGAATCAGACACCTAATCGCCAGCACACAAAGTGAGCCGCCTAACCCGCTCAGCCTCCGCTGCCAAATATAAGTTATAACATATGTTACATTTTACCACTTTTCTACAATGACATTGTGTATGGACCTTTGCGATAGATTGGGTATGAAGACTGGTTAATTGTATTGACACCCCCAACCCCACCCACAATTCCATCTTTTTTTATTGACTGGCAATATACTTTAGCTGCTCATAACACTCACTAAACTTACATACAGTTAAAGGTCACATGCAACGTAAAACACAACTTTGCAGATTCTGATACCTTTTGGTATGGACCTACCGAAACAAAGCGTCAAAAATGCAAATTCAACTTATAAAGTTGAAAAATAACGCGATGAAAAAAAATGCGCGAAATCGGAGTTCAAACGTTTCACTAATTTTCCCCAGACTTTTCTGGGGAATACGGGTTTCAACAGCTGGGCTGCGCTCATAGCACGTGCGCAGTGAAATAGGTTCGCGCAACTTGGAAGCGGGCTGTCTGGTGAATACTTGGTGAAGGCTTTGGTGTGAGCTATTTTCATAATGTTTTGTTGATATCTCACAGGCGCGAGCTTTTTATATATTATGACAGTAAATAAACTGTTTATATAATTTCATTTGTCTATTTCACCACACGTTCTTCTTACCGAGTCACTTTCTCAGTTCGATACTTAAAAGCAATGTCATTATTTAGCGTTGACACAATTTCTAACTGTGATATAGATATGTCGCTGTCACAGACAAAACTCAATGTCTTGTTTTATTGACACCTGTGTGTCTGCCTGCCTGTCTGCTAATGACAATATTCAATACACAACTGCGATCACTGACCACATGCAATTTGAACTTAACACCAATCAGGCTATACACCATAAACAAAACGCATTGATTTATGGCCCGAGTTCGGTCTCTGTCACATTATGTAATTACACAGACAGGCAGGTGTGATACTTGAACACATGACATGTTATGATGTCTGTTGATTGCAAAATGTTATACACAAAAAATGAGCATGTATTTACAAAACCCAACATCTCTCTATATATACACACAGTGAGCCGTGAAGGCGGTATCTGCTAATGAACCAGCCGTTACACTTGAGTGCACACCCACCCGCTCTGACTGGGTTCGGTATCCCGGCTGCTTCGTTTCGAGGGAGGTAAACCCAAGTACAAAATATTGCACTTTTGATTTGCGATTATACGCTTATAATTTTGTTTATATGTTTTTTCATAATCAGCAATGCATATTATATGTCATGAAGAAGTGATAATTGTGTTTTAATTATGTTTGATTTTTTGGTTGCATGTGACCTTTAACGTTGAGCTCGCACGCCCTTTGTATTGCGTTAAGGGATAGAAAACCTTTCCATTCATTAATTAAATCGATAATTAAGCGTACCTGTTTCAGATTTCATTTTGGATTGAATATATTTGTATTTGTCATCTCTAACGTGGTTGTTATACCAAATATTTTGTCAAGAATGTTTTCACCAATTTGAGATTTAATGGGGTTTTTTTTGCACCAAGATGGTTAAGGTAATTATACAGTAGATTTCTTAGCTAAGAAAGAATACGTGTTTCTAAATTGTTACTATTCATTTCCATTAAGCTTGATCATATTCTTACACGAAAAATCTTTCACCGTTTTGGTGTTTTCTTACAATAACGTCTTATCATTGACAACGTTTGAGCCCGAGTTAGTTTTATGACCAGGGGTAATTTGAATCCTCCGACCTTTGAAAACAAATAACTTGTGTTCTTTTCGTCTTGTCAGGATGAATTCTCCAAACCAGAAAACGCAAATAATGGACGGTTGTTGGCATAACTACACGCAGGTAACGTTCCCTACAGTCGAACATACATGTTCTAAAGGGTACTCTTTATCATCAATTGTACTCCTTTGATAAAATTGTCATCCCTTATCATATCTTGTAGTATTTCTGCTGCAAAGAATAAAAAGTATGGCGATAGTATATCGCCCTGACGACAACCTCTCGAAATACATTTAGTAAAGACATCTGACTCAAACTCATTTTCTAGAAAACAAGATTCAGTTCCACTGTAAAAGCTTCTTACCTATTTGCGAACAGTTATCCCAAAATTAAAATATGCAGTGTGTTATCAACGAATTCCCTGTCGGCGGTTTCAGTTGCCTTTTTGAAGTCGGTATGAATCATCACACCTGGTATCAAGTAACTGTCTGTGTATTCCATCATCGTCATAAATATGTCATTTCTCTGGTATATATAGCATACTTGTAGCAGTTTAATCATCATTCGAGAATAACGAACGAACGAACGAACTAACGAAAGAAAGAAAGAAAAAAGAAAGAAAGAACGAACGAACGAACGGACGATAGACAGACGGTGTGTGTGTGTGTGTGTGTGTGTGTGTGTGTGTGTGTGTGTGTGTGTGTGTGTGTGTGTGTGTGTGTGTGTGTGTTCCCCGCTGATATTTCCAGAGGAGATGGAGGGGGATAAAGATCGATCTTGTTCAGATGACGTACTGTAATCGATCTGTGGTGTCATAAACATGTAATGTCATTTATGTGTCTCAAACCTGAAGCACTGCACGTTATATATTATGTCTTCAACCGAAAGCCATAATGGGTGTCTTAAAGAGCAATATCTTATAATATTCCCCAGTGCTGTTTTCCGCCATTTGCATACAGCTAATGACCTATTGTGACCTAGGAATGAAAGTAAGAATATCTTCTCCGAGTTTTAAGAAATTGTTTTGGTTTATTTCTATTGACCCAATGTCCCAAAGATTCATGACAGCTTATATTCTTCATTTGACAATCTACGTGTAACCATTCGACTTCGTATGTCGTATTGAAATTCTACACGCTATACATTCTTTTCTTGACCGTGTGGACTTTGCAGTCTCATGTTAATCTTGTTAAGCAGTAAATCTGAAAGATTTGTTTAACCTTTAAATCCTACTTTAAGTCGGTTAGTCATGCAAATTGACTGTTAAAGATATGTTTCAAATCAAAATCAGATGATAAAAATAAAGTCTAGCTAGCTCTATTCACCTGAAGAAAATGTTGTTTTAGAGAAGAAACATATATTTCGTAATATACTCTCCCAAAAAAGAAACGCATATAGGAATTTCAACTGTATTTTTATGTTTATTTTGAAACATATTGTAGGCTTTATGAGTCAATGAAATATAGCGAAATTGCACACTGGGAATGCAGACGTATCCGTCTTTGGCACCAACTCGAGGACAGTCAGTTTCAGTGTCACATGGAGACGTGTGGTGGCGCTGAAGTTAATACCTCGTGTGACCACCGTGGGCATCCAGAACTGCACGGCATCGCCTCGGCATCGAACGAATAAGTCTCAGAATCTCGTGTTGCCCAATCGCAGCCCACTCTGCCTGTAGTGCCTGTGCGAGTTGCTGAAGTGTCTGGGGCTGAGGGTTACGGCGTCGCACCCGTCTGTCCAGGGCATCCCACATATGTTCGATCGGGTTCAAGTCCGGTGATCTTGAGGGCCAGGGGAGCACATCGATGTTGTGGTTCTGGAGGAAGTCTCTAGTGTGACGTGCTGTGTGGGGCCTGGCATTGTCCTGTTGAAACAACTCCCTCTGGCGATCAATGATTGGAAGGAGGTGTGGGCGTAGGATTTCGTCACAGTACCGTTGAGCTGTCAGGTTGCCCTGGATCATCACCAAATCACTTCTCCTACGGCAGGTGATCTCCCCCACATCATAACACTTCCCCGGCCGCATCTGTCCACCTGGGGAACGCAAGCGTCGGCGAAACGTTCACGTCGACGTCTGTACACCCGCATTCTTCCATCGTGTCGTTCCAATAGAAATCGTGATTCATCACTGAACCAGATTCTACGCCAATTCGGTAGGTTCCAGGCCTGAACGTTGGTGCACCATTGAACTCGATGTCGACGATGTTGTTGTCGAAGCACAGGGCCAAAATAAGGTCTTCTGGCACGTAAACCATCCGTCTCTCAACCTGTTCCTGACGGTCTGTGCAGAAAGCCTCCTCAATCCGGGTATTTGTCGAGCGGTACTGGTCACCGTAGCTGTTCGATGACGCAAGTGATGTACTCGGTTGTAGCGATCCTGCGCCGCAGTGGTCGCTCGAGGTCGCCCACTACGAGGGGCATCTGCTACCGCATTCTGCCGGCGATATCTCTCCCAGAGCCGTGAAATGGTGCTTTGGTGAACATTCATGCGCCGGGCAACTGCACGTTGAGACTGGCCAGCTTCAAGCAAACCAATGGCGATATGACGGTTGGCTTCACTTAGACGTGGCATTTTGCGTTCGTCAACAATATTCCACAGTGAATAATCGACAGACAGCGATCAACCTTTTATACCCATCATTGAGACTATCTGATCCCCAACTTTCACGTGCATTGCATGTGAATTGTGTATTCTGTGACACTACACGCCGAAATTGAAAATCATGCTGTTAAATACGGGTATTTTACGGATGGTGCGTTTTGATGTGATGTTTCAAAACATAAACACAATAGGACTCATAAACAGAGCAAAACCTGTTGTAAAATGAATCACGTTTTAATTCATTGCTACATGAAATTGCTATTTTCATGATGGGTTTCTTTTTTGGGAGAGTATATATCAGATTTAATAAGCTGTATGAGTGAATCTGGTGTGTATCCTCAGATGTCAATACTTTTTAAGATAACATCCTTTTATTCACTAGTGATGTGGCAGCGTTTTTTCAAAAGTTTGACGTATATGGTTTTCTCTTTCAAAATCGCATCAAATTTATTTTGGTTTTAGATATACACTTCTTATGAATTGACACACAAATGATATAACTTCTGTTTAATGTTTAATTTACATTAGTTACTTATCAGGACGTCTATAAAAAAATAATAAATTACCGTTCGAAAGAGTGCCTTGTAAAAGTAGTATTAGGGTACTGTATATAACCAAACTAAAAAACGGCTGAAAATAGGAATTGGCATCTATAAATCTAAAAATAATGAAAACTGTCACTGGTTTATTAACATTGTGTTCATGTATCTTTTCATCACCATACATACTCTTCCGGGTATTGTAATGTGTGTCTTGTCACGTCAGCCATCCATGCTGCTTCCTTGTCCCCCAGTTGCAGCATGAACGCCTTCCCTGACTTGCCAGTAGGCAGGAGTGGTGGAGAGAGTGAATGTGGTTTTATGCCGCCTTTAGCAATATTCTAGCATTGCCAGCAGACCTGAAGACCCCTATCCATCAACGTATATCAGTGAGTGAGTGAGTGAGTTTAGTTTTACGCCGCACTCAGCAATATTCCAGCTATACGGCGGCGGTCTGTAAAGAATCGAGTCTGGACCACACAATCCAGTGATCAACAGCATGAGCATCGATCTACGCAATTGGGAACCGATGACATGTGTCAACCAAGTCAGCGAGCCTGACCACTCGATCCCGTTAGTCGCCTCTCACGAGAAGCATGGGTTACTGAAGGCTCATTCTAACCCGGACCTTCACGGATCCAACGTGTATCAAGCTTATCCATCCACATCTTACTAATAGCAAGGTATGTAGTTTTACTGGTAGTGTATCCTGGAGTGACGTTAAAATACACAAAATGTTCACAATTAAGAGATAATTAATACCATCTAATTTTACAAACCATGTACTTTTGAAATTCAGATTCACAAGCGCCTTCAACACTGGAGAAGGCATTTTGCTCCAATTTTATACGTAATGAAAAGATGCACAAGATATTCCTCAAGCAATGAATCAAGAAGATAAAGTCATCACAGAATACAGAACTTGGATCATTGACTTGGATATTGTCTGTCAAATATATTTTTATTAGGGGTGGGTATTGCAGAGAATATTCATATTGCGATATATTGCGATGCGAATGCATGTATTGCGATATGTATTGCAATATATTGCATGAAGTATTTTTAAACAAAATAACTACTAATAATTGAGTTACTGCTTGATTTATAGAGCAGAAACACAACAAAATCCCTATACTTGATTAAGCTTTAATAACAAATTTTAATCATGATAAAATAAAAATGTGAATACTATTTGGCACAAATGAAACAAGGAAATATCCGAAGATTTCCGAGTGTTACGACGTTTTCCGAATGCATGTCAAAATACCGGTTTTCGATCAGCGTATCGCAATACATATCGTTTTCATATCTGAACTGGTAAATACCGGTAAACCGGTTATATTGCGCAGCCCTAATTTTTTATCCAAACAATTATGTTCACCAATGTAACGTTTGTATCCGAACACAGTTGACAGTCTTTAGGGCTGAAGTTCCATTACTGCTTTACCCCTTAAAACACAATTCAAGACACAAAACATATTTTATGAAACCGATTTCTCTGTAATATTGTAAATCAGGCGCGTAGCAAGCCAATTTTTTCGTGTAAGCCCGATAGGTTGTAAAGCTTTATATTCAGATAGTATTTAGGGCTTGCCTAACCTTTTCAGCAACAATCATGTGTAAGCCCGAGGTTTTTTTATAATGGTAGCTACGTCCCTGTAAATCTTCCTTACGATATCGTCTTGGTGAATCTGGAACCCATGAAGATCCCTGTTAAAATTGGTCTTCAGCAACACGTACTTGTCGTAAGAGGCAACTAACGGGATCGGGTGGTCAGGTTTGTTGATTTGGTTGACACATAAGTGAATCCCAGTTGCAGAGATCGATGCTCAAAATGTCAATCACTGAATTGTCTAGTCCAGACCCGTCATATAACCGAAATATTGCTGAGTAACTTTGGTATGGTATGTTGTGCGACAGGTAACGTCGGTTCTTAACAGAATTAGCTCGGGGCGGTGGGGTAGCCCCGTGGGTAAAGCGTTTGCTCGTCACTCTGAAGGCCCGGGTGATATTGCTGGAATATTGCTAGTGACATCAAACTTAGGATTGCCTGTGATATCCCCAAATCCTTCATCTCTAATTAGAAAAAAACAATGCTTGGCTTAAAAGAAATGGCAGGTAGAATTGTTTGCCTCTAGAAAAGTCTCGCTTCATTCAACAGTGAGGGGAGGTGGGGTAGCCTAGTGGTTAAATCGTTCGCTCGTCATGCGGAAGACCCAGGTTCGATTCCCCACATGGGTACAATGTGTGAAGTCCATTTCTGGTGTTCCCCGCCATGATATTGCTGGAATATTATTATGAATATTGCTAAAAGCGGCGTAAAACCCAACTCACTAACAGTTAGCTCTGAGGTATATATCTCATTAAGGTGAGAGTTCATCTGAATAGTTGATTTTATACACACATTTAGTATGTATGTATGTATGTATGTATGTATGTATGTATGTATGTATGTATGTATGTATGTATGTATGTATGTATGTATGTATGTATGTATGTATGTATCTTACGTATGTCATGTTTCGCCTATGTGAACAGCACACACATTATTGATTGGTCAGCTGTCAGTCGCTCGCAGATAACACTTTTGTTCAACCGTAAATAACGCTTATGCAATGGAACGGCTTTCTGAAAAACAACAACCTTATATGTATGCTGGACAAACGTTGAAACACTGGCCCGAGCCATGTCGTCCTTGTAGCCTAAGCCATTCAAGCTGATATATCCACAAGTTGTTGCATTTCTCGCAGTGCCACCCCATACCATCATATTTCCATCCCGAGCACCTTCCCTAGCTTCTAAACTCAGACGTTGGGTTTTATACAGCTAACGTCACAACGTTCTCTTGGATGCCAGAGTGAGTGAGTTTAGTTTTACGCCGCACTCAGCAATATTCCAGCTATATGGCGGCGGTATGTAAAGAATCGAGTCTGGACCAGACAATCCAGTGATCAACAGCATGAGCATCGGTCTACGCAATTGGGAACCGATGACATATGTCAACCAAGTCAGCGAGCCTGACCACCCGATCCCATTAGTCGCCTCTTACGACAAGCATGGGTTACTGAAGGTTCATTCTAACCCGGACCTTCTAATCCGGACCTGGATGTCAGAGGACCCTTGCACCATCTTAGCTGTCCAGGTGAAACCTAAAATCGTCTGTGACCAGTTTCCGGGCTCAGTCTTGTCTACTATTCCACAAATGTTGTGTTCACCAAACTGTGCCTATCTGATAGTAATGTCGGAGCCAAACTGGGCGTGGGACGTCGAGACTGGATCTGATGTAGTTGACCTCGCAGTAGTGAGTCATGAGCGTTGCCATTATGTAAGCGTTAGTTACTGTTAAACAAAACTGAGTGCTTCTATGAGCAAATGACAGCCACACAATTCACTTGAAAAACACAAAATAAGTGTGAGTATCATGCTCCCAAAGAACACGCCATCTGCACCATACATGCATAAACATGCACGTGCTATTTGAGAATCACGACATTAAAAATCAAGGAGTGAGTGAGTGAGTTAAATGTTTACGTCGCATCGGCATTATTTATAGAGCATTTAAAGTACAAAGTTAAAAGGGGTTAAAAATACATATGTCATCATTACAGTATTATCTAAAATTAGCAGAGGTCATAAACCCAAAGGCAATTTGTCACATGCATACATAGTTACAATTCATTAAGAACGGTGGGGTAGCCTAGAGGTTAAAGCGTTCGCTCGTCACGCTGAAGCCCCGGGTTCGATTCCCCACACGGGTACAATGTGTGAAGCCCATTTCTGGTATCCCCGTCCGTGATATTGCTGGAATATTGCTAAAAGCGGCGTAAAACTAAACTCACTCACTCACTTACGATTTATTACACAGGCCAATTTATTGCAAATAGTTCATAATGCGATTCTCGCTCACGCGGGTAAACAGCTCTTTCATATTTATTGCTTCATAATGTGAATCCCTTGCATTTGAAAACTCCACACAGTCAAGTAGAATATGTTTGATGGTAAACACCATCGCAACAGATACACTTAAGAGGTTCATCCCATCTTCTAAGCAGATAGTCATGAGTAAACCGACTGTAGGTATAACCATGTAGGTATAACCGATTGTTGGTTTCAATTCATGAAGTCTATTTCTAGGGTTCCCTACCTTTTGGCGTATGGTCCCGAGTATAACGTTTGCTATAGTGGTTTTGAAGTCACTGTACGAGATTAGAAGAGAATATAACGTTTGTCAAGAGCTACTTTAGCTGCTGCGTCGGCTTTTGTGTTACCTGCTATGCTTGGTAAAAGAGATGTCTTTACGAATATGTACTGAAATGTTATTTCAGAATATGATTTATTTAACTATAATAGTCCGTTTGGCTCAAAAGCGGACCGATGAATTGCAATCTAACTCGAAAACTAATAAACATAAAATACTCAATGAAACGCTGATCATAATCAAAACATCATACCCACTCTGTGAGGTTTTTGCAGAATTTTTGTCCTAAAAATAAAAAAGGTGTTTAACAATCTATCATTAAAATATTGACACAGTTCACTATTTGTTACGAGGGAGGAGTGCAGAGAAAGGGACAGCCAGGTGTTCGAGAACGGATGGAGACGGCACAGCACAGGTTAATGAATAAATAACTTTGTCTGTGAACGTGCTTCTCGAACACCTTTCTCTGCACTCCTCCCTCGTAACAAATAGTGAACTGTGTCAATATTTTAATGATAGATTGTTAAACAACTGTTTTATTTATGGGCATGATGTTTTGATTATGATTAGCGTTTCATTGAGTATTATATGTTTATTAGTTTTCGAGTTAGATTGCAATTCATCGGTCCGCTTTTGAGCCAAACGGACTGTATATATGAAGCGTTTGCTTGTTGTCAATGCCGGTTGAAGATTGAACGAGCGCTTCATATATAATTGCATATTTTTTAAATACAAGATTAGGAACTTATATCAGCGCGTGATAATAAATTATTTGTAATAAACACGTGCACTAAACACATCTCAGATTCTGTTCGCACGCCAGCAGCACAATTTGGTCAATCTAGGAAAACAAACAATAAATTGAGCATTAACATTGTACAGTGCCCCGTACTCAAACCGTTGTGAAATGGCCGCTGAGTAGTTACCGTTAAGCTTTGTTAAGATAACTAACATCGGGACACACCTAAGAAAAGATGTTTTCGTTTGGGCAAGGGGCAATGAAATAGACTTACATACGTAATTGGAAGCTTGCCAGATTGTAAGTTGTGGCAGACAGTCTAATTTAGATATTTCATGCTAGCTCATAATTACATTGGTATTTTTTCTTGGCTTGAATTACGTCTATATACAAAAGTCTATTAAAATGGACAGGAGTTTGATACATGAACCATTGGTTCGTATAGCATGTTGTTTTTAGGATCTGTTTAAGAGTATTAGGAAATTAGATTGCATCCGAGACACAGCGCTGCAATTAGCATCGGGTATACACGTGTTTATACAATCAGAATTCCAATGCCTTGATTGTTAACAAACGGAGCTTGTGGCTGATATGTCAGTCATCGCTGTGCCAAAATGCGGAAAACAAGATAAACGGTGAGCAAAGCGTAATTGCTAGACTGTTGTTAAATTTGGTAAATGCTCTGTCAATGTTTTGGTTTGGGGGACGGTGGGGTGGCCTAATGGTTAAAGCGTTGGCTCGTCACGCCGAAGACCCGGGTTCAAATCCCCACATGGGTACAATGTGTGAAGCCCATTTCTGGTGTCCCCCCGCCGTGATGTTGCTGGAATATTGCGAAAAGCGGCGTAAAACCAAACTCAGTCAGTCAGTTTTGGTTTGGTTGTTGTTTTACGCCGCACACAGCAATATTCCAGCTATATGGCGGCGGTATGTAAATAATCGAGTCAAGACCACACAATCCAATGATCAACAGCATAAGCATCGATCTACGTAATAGGGATACGAAAACATGTGTCGACCAAGTCGGCGAGCCTGACCACCTGATCCCGTTAATCGCCTCTTACGACAAGCATGGATTCCATAGTCATGAATGTCAGATGTGTTTTATGGAATTAACAACCCATGACAATTGGGTTTATTTCAGCTCTACTACCACTGATAATAATACTATGATATTCGGCCACATGACAAAAATAATAAACACACGTCATTAAAAACCCATCACATGATGGAAAAGGTGTATATGAGTTTATGCATGTGTTATATATACATAACAGCGCATATAAAGAAATTGTAATATTTTCACGTTCAAGGATGTCGTATGGCAGAGCGAAAGATTTGATTATTACGAAATTGATGAATTTATGATGTCTTGAAGAAAATGGACAAAGAAATTGGACATCTCATGTTAAGAACTTCTTATTCTCTATTGGCTTCGGAAACGTTTGGAATGCACAATATGTAGAATCACATACGTAATTCATTCAGTCGTTAACCATAAGACTTAAAGACATATATCTTCAAACATGGTGTGAGAAAATATCTTTGTCAAGTAAATGTTTTAACTATTCAAAATTTAAAAAAGATTTATTCAATGAAGTATACTTATCATGTGTTAATATAAAGAAATTTAGGCGATCACTAGCAAGATTCCGATGTTCATCTCACGATTTGTTGATTGAAAGCGGCAGATATAAAAATGTTAAAAGAGAAGAGAGAATATGTACACTTTGTCGTTTAAATGAAATTGAAGATGAATATCACTTTCTCCTCATCTGTCCATCATATAATTCAATACGTTGTCAATACATTAAAAGATATTACTATATCCATCCAAGCATCATAAAATTCTCTACCCTTATAAGCAGTAAAAATAAAAATATATTACAAAATCTTGCCATGTTCATCCACATTGCAATGTTGTATAGAACAAAAGTTTTATCACTGTAATGTAAATATATGTATTTATGTAATTCCCCATTATACATGTATATGTACTAAAGGCCTGTGGCCTCTTCAGTACGAAATAAAGATTGAACTGTAAGAAAGTGGCCATGTCTCAATCAGCATCTCTTATAACGTTGAAAGAATTTCTCTGTTGTTTTTATGATCCAGACTCGATTATTTACAGACCGCCTCCATATAGCTGGATAATGTTATAATATGACGTGTTTCATTTATAGTTATATATTCATTATACTTTGCATTAAATTAAAATTGATATAGATTGCTTTTAATTAACATTACTGACACTGAAATAACTATTATTTGTTACAAAAATGGAGTTATTTATTTCTCTATTCCAAACATCCGGTTCGCCCACTAAGTCAAAATCGCACAAAGTTTCCCTTTGGCAGTCGAAGATTTTGGCGGGAAAATTGCCTGAATAATATATGTAAATGACTTATTTTGCATTCGTTGACTATAGTCTAAGGGAGGCAACTGTCATAGCGAATGATTATTCATCTGTTTACATGTTCGGCTTGCATAGTTCACGAAATTGCGATACCATTCTCTGCGTAAATATACACTTGAAGGGAGATAACCGCTGCCGGAGATTCTCAGCAGTGGTTGTTTCAAATATTTCTGTCTTTTCGGACAGGAAAACTGTTGATTTGACATCTTTTGTGGACGACAGGAAATACGTCTTGTACAATGTGCGGTAGAACCGCTTGGTAAGGACCCACGTGCGATTGTCACGTTTAGACAAGCGATTACTAACCGAATATTATTTGATTTCAGTTCAGATTGTTCAGTGTCGCTTAATTTCGTTACAAAACGTTACAATGTGTCTTTGACACACTGTGCCTACATTTCGTTGTACAGCGTATTCGATGTGTCATAAATTTTGAATATGATACTTGTATTTGCACCATATTGAATAATACCGATGTTATCGAACACACTGGGGATTATATAACACGGTCATGTGTTAAAAGCGGACTCTGTCAATACAGAACTGTCATTCTATTGATAGTCATGCATGTTCCGTTAGTCAATACACTGGTGTCAGAGTACCGCGAACATTTAAACCGGCATCAATGTCCTGAACATCTGAATATTGGCAGTTTATTTTGGATCCACTCTCTGAATTCCTCCTTGTGAATCGGTATTGTTTTCTGATCTTGTGATCTTGATAAGTTTTTGAAGGAATTGTGTCAAGAGATTGGTTGTACACCCTATCAGCAATTTTCCAGTAAGATCCTGGCGTGAGACATAAGAAGTTATAGTTTGGCATGAAATGCATGTGGACCCGTTTTTTTGTAAATATCTCTTCATCCAATGACCCAATCAATCTCAAACTGTGCAAGTGGATGTTTTGTCAGACAACCTAATCACATTGTAAATCACCGATTTTATGCATTTGTATTAAAGAATCTGTCTATGTAACTGTCAACAAAATAAACAGCAGACCGCAGACTGCTTGCAGAGGGAGGGAGCCAATGACCTGTAACAGCGTCAGTGTTGGGTCATAAAGGTCAACGTTCGTCAATGTAGGTCAGCTATGTACGTTTCATGTAATCCGACACCTTATAAATCGGTTTGCTACGTTTGCTCTCTTTTAAAAAAAATTCAACACATTTCTAATTAAACGTTTAGCATCATCTGAATAAGCTTTCATGATGACAGCTAGAAGTAGTCAATGTGAATGATCCAAACGGTCTATCACTGTGCAGTGCACAGGTAACTATCATGAACTGCACGTGCATTTACCTTTATGACCCAACACTGCCGCTGTTACAGGTCATTGGCTCCCTCCCTCTGCAAGCAGTCTGCGGTCTGCTGTTTATTTTGTTGACAGTTACATAGACAGATTCTTTAATACAAATGCATAAAATCGGTGATTTACAATGTGATTAGGTTGTCTGACAAAACATCCACTTGCACAGTTTGAGATTGATTGGATCATTGGATGAAGAGATATTTACAAAAAACGGGTCCACATGCATGTCATGCCAAACTATAGCTCTATGTATTGTACCCATTGGGAATCAAACACTTTGGCCATTTTATTACTCCACTGCATGTGTGAATCTGTAACAAGAGTTCAGCTGGGAAACCTTATTTATGTTATGTAAGATTGACACACTTCTGCATGAACAGCAATAGGAGAACTTGGATGAGTTTAGCATTCTTCACTGATTGGCTGGAGCAGTTGCGCATACACATGCATTCAGTGATTCACATATGTGATCAGTGTGAATTGAACCCGTGCTTTCCTTTATGATTTTCCTCTGAACCATTTCAAGCGTGATGGTAGTTAAAACAAAGTCAACTCTCTAAAGGTCAGTCATATTGATTCAGATGTTACACATACATAAATATAAGTTTTTGTTTCCAGTGCTCTTGCCCCCGATGATATTGTTGGTAGATGTACCTATCAGCGCCGGTCATCAGGGCAACGAGAAAAGCCAGTTTGGCGTGACCCCCAGGAGGCCAGAAGTACTACCCATCACACAACATCGCCCCAGCCTCACACACGTAACAACCCTTTTGTTCATTCATATCAACATTAACTCATGATAGTTTGAATTCCTGAGGCATTCTTGATACTTATTATCATGAGTTCAAATCCCAGATTCACTTGGTTATGTTTCTAGTTTCGTCAGTGCCATGCCGATACTTTTTAATTTTACCAAAGTAGTAAATGTCCTTGACTTTCATCAGCTTCCGGGTGGAAAATGTCCTGCTTCCACCTGCGGTCACCCACAATGCCTACAAAATCGTACGGAGCATTTTTTACTTTATCGTACGGCGCCTGCAGCAAATGTGATCCGTGTCTTTTGAGTGAGTGAGTGAGTTGTGTCAACCAAGTCAGCGAACCTTACCAATCGATCCCGTTAGTCACCCGGACCTTCACGGGTGCCAGGTCTTATGAAAACTCACTCACTCACTGGCTCAATAACTAGACTTAATAATTAGTGCTCATGCTGTTGATCATTTGATTGTCTGGTCAAAGCATGATTATTTACAGGCCATCGTCGTAATGCTGGAATATTGCTGAGGGCAGCATTAAACAACAAACAAACATAAAACTAACAATTAGTGGCATGTTTGAAGCCATGACATTGTCTCTATTAGTTAGGTAATACTTCGGTGTGGGAGGTATCGTAGTATGCTAGTTTGAAGCCATGACATTGTAGTAATAATTGTTCAGGGGTAGTGCTTGTTCAGGGAGTGCCCGATGTATACTTCCAAAAGTGCTTGCAACAACTAGCTTACCTAGCTAACCCTTGTCTCAAATCATAGTGATAAGACCTTAAACCTCACATGGTGTACATCACCTCTCGCAGGAGAAAGAAGAAAGGAAAACATATTTTCTTTTCATCATTAAATGTTGTTATATTTCAGACCAGTCTTGCTGTCGAGCAGGCACTATGGGAGTGAGCTGGAGGGTGTGGCCGAGCCTGTGATCCAGCCAATGAAATGGGGTCTGACCCCATCCTGGCACAAGGGGGATCCTTACAAGGTTGAATATGAGACTAACAACTGCCGGGCTGAAGGCATGCTGACCAAACGCATGTATAAAGTACCGCTGGAGAAGGGGCGCAGATGTGTCATTCTGGCTGAAGGGTAGGTGATGGGGTACTGAGGTAGAAGGGTAGGTGATCGGGTACTCAGGCAGAAGGGTAGGTGATGGGGTACTCAGGCAGAAGGGTAGGTGATGGGGTACTCAGGCTGAAGGATGGGAGGTGTGTTATTGTGTCCAAAGGGTGGGAGATGTATTATTGTGTCCAAAGGGTGGGAGATGTGTTATTGTGTCCAAAGGGTGGGGTGGGAGATGTGTTATTGTGTCCAAAGGGTGGGAGATGTGTTATTGTGTCCAAAGGGTGGGAGATGAGATGTGTTATTGTGTCCAAAGGGTGTGAGATGTGTTATTGTGTCCAAAGGGTGTGAGATGTGTTATTGTGTCCAAAGGGTGGGAGATGTGTTATTGTGTCCAAAGGGTGGGAGATGTGTTATTGTGTCAGAAGGGTGTGAGAAGATTGTGTTGATTGTGTGCTATTGTGATAGGTGTGAGATGTGCTATTGTGTCAGAAGGGTGTGAGATGTGCTATTGTGTCAGAAGGGTGTGAGTGTCATGTGCTATTGTGTCAGAAGGGTGTGGAGATGTGCTATTGTGTCAGAAGGGTGTGAGATGTGTTATTGTGTCAGAAGGGTGTGAGATGTGCTATTGTGTCAGAAGGGTGAGATGTGTTATTGTGTCAGAAGGGTGTGAGATGTGCTATTGTGTCAGAAGGGTGTGAGATGTGTTATTGTGTCAGAAGGGTGTGAGATGTGCTATTGTGTCAGAAGGGTGTGAGATGTGCTATTGTGTCAGAAGGGTGTGATGTGTTATTGTGTCAGAAGGTGTGTGAGTAAAGTATTGTGTGCCTATTGTGTCAGAAGGATTGAGAGATGTGTCATTCTGGCTGAAGGGTAGATGTGTTATTGTGAAGGGTGGGAGATGGGTTACTGTGTTGAAGGGTGGGTGATGTGATATTGTCAGGCAGAAGGGTAGGTGATGGGGTACTCAGTGTCAGAAGGATGGGAGGTGTGTTATTGTGTCCAAAGGCGGGAGATGTATTATTGTGTCCAAAGGGTGGGAGATGTGTTATTGTGTCCAAAGGGGTGGGAGATGTGTTATTGTGTCCAAAGGGTGGGAGATGGGTTATTGTGTCCAAAGGGTGTGAGATGTGTTATTGTGTCCAAAGGGTGGGAGATGTGTTATTGTGTCCAAAGGGTGTGAGATGTGTTATTGTGTCCAAAGGGTGGAAGATGTGTTATTGTGTCCAAAGGGTGTCCAGAAGGGTGTGGGAGATGTGCTATTGTGTCAGAAGGGTGTGATATGTGTTATTGTGTCAGAAGGGTGTGAGATGTGCTATTGTGTCAGAAGGGTGTGAGATGTGCTATTGTGTCAGAAGGGTGTGAGATGTTATTGTGTCAAAAGGTGTGAGATGTGTTATTGTGTCAGAAGGGTGTGAGATGTGCTATTGTGTCAGAAGGATGTGAGATGTGTTATTGTGTCAGAAGGGTGAGAGATGTGCTATTGTGTCAGAAGGATGGGAGATGTGCTATTGTGTCAGAAGGGTGAGAGATGTGTTATTGTGTCAGGTCGGTGGAGGTGTTATTGAGATGTGGGAGATGTGCTATTGTGTCAGAAGGATGTGAGATGTGCTATTGTGTCAGAAGGGTGCGAGATGTGCTATTGTGTGCAAAGGGTGTGAGATGTGTTATTGTGTCAGAAGGGTGCGAGAGATGTGTTATTGATGTTATTGTGTGCAAAGGGTGTGAGATGTGTTATTGTGTCAGGAGGGTGTGAGATGTGCTATTGTGTCAGAAGGGTGTGAGATGTGCTATTGTGTCAAAAGGGTGTGAGATGTGTTATTGTGTCAGAAGGGTGTGAGATGTGCTATTGTGTCAGAGGGATGGGAGATGTGCTATTGTGTCAGAAGGGTGAGAGATGTGTTATTGTGTCCGAAGGGTGGGAGGTTTGTTATTGTGTTCGAAGAGTGGGAGATGTGCTATTGTTTCAGAAGGATGGGAGATGTGTTATTGTGTCAGAAGGATGGGAGATGTGTTATTGTGTCAGAAGGATGGGAGATGTGTTATTGTGGAAGGTTTGTATTATTCATACAGAAATGTGTTATTCAATAAAACTGAAACTATTTTTCAGATTTTTTGAATGGAAAAGGAGTGAAAAGGTGAAGCAACCATATTACATCTACTTTCCTAAGTCTGATGGTGAAGGAGAGGTGAAAGGTCAGATATCACTGAAACCATGAACTGTTCCGATTAAAATTAATCAATAATTTTAATAATCAATAAAACAGAGACACCTGAGTGGTTAGTGTGTTCAGGCTTGGAGACTAGGTCATCATGACCTGAATGCAGGAGGCAGTGCTCATTTTATCAACCACTGGTTTGATGGGTGGCTACGTGAAATAGCTTGAGTATTGCAGACTAAGACTTACCAACTTACAAGCAAGGAGTCATTTATTATTGTCTTAATAATAAAACTCTCACATCTTTTGGATCACATTTGTACTCACACTATCAGCCTCGGACTGGACGTCTGCTGCAAAGTGGTGTGACTATGACAACATCCATCACAGTGACTAGTCCTTTCAACGCTTTCAGATGTATTTTTCTTCTGCAGAAGAGAAGCCAGACATCAAATCTGAAATAAAAATGGAATCCATCTCGGTGAAGACGGAAGTCAAGTTAGAACCAGCAGAGTCACAACTGTTGGAAAAAATCAAACAAGAAGATGGTGTTACACAGGTGAAATCAGAGGTGAACTCTGAGGTGAAAGCAGAGGTGAAGTCCGAGGTGAAGGTCGAGAGAGACGTGAAGGCAGACCCGGAGGAGGGCAATCTCAAGTCAGTGGCGAATTCAGAGAGCAATAACAATGGAGGTAAACCTTTCCACAATATACTGTGTCAGTGTACCCTCGGACACTTGAAAAACGTTACAACTGTCTACACTAAACATTTCTAATGCTCACATTAATTGTATTATTCCAAATCTTATTTTGAGTGATTTTAACCTTTGGCAACTGACAGCTTTTGTCCAGACTATAGTTAGTAAATCACTCATACCATAACGGTAGGGTAGCCTAGCGGTTAAAGCTTTCACTCGTCACGCTGAAGACCCAGGTTCGATTCCCTACATGGGTACAATGTGTGAAGCCCATTTCTGGTGTCCCCTGCCATGTTATTGCTGGAATATTGTTAAAAGCGGCGTAAAACTTAACTCACTCACTCACCCATACCTTAACGATAATGAGAATTGTCATCTCAGATCACATACATTGCCACTAGTTGACATACACGCAGGAAGACTCTTTCATGCCTTTCACAATACCAAGTGCAATGCATTAATTGTTAGTGTCAGTGAATGAAGCGATTAACATACCTCCGTACCCTGTAGTAGTAGCAAGTACAAAGACCATGCTATCTTCAAACCCTGTAGAGAAATTCGATTTAGTACCTGCTGTTAAATTTGTTTCGCAGATTTAAGGGGAGACAAGTTGCTGACGATGGCTGGGGTGTTCGATGTGTGGAAGCCCCCAGATGTAAGTATCTGTGAGGGAGTTCAATGATAACCTACTGGCAATGAAGAATAGAGGGTTTGTCTTATTGAAGGGTCTTATCCCAGAAGAAGCACGCAGATTTTATTTAAGTTGCAAAGATGGTTGTCCATATATTGTCCACAGTCATCTTTCTGAGAAAGTGTTCCCACATAGTCAGTGTTTGACTGTTCCCACATACAGTGTTTCACTGTTCCCACATTGTCAGTGTTTGACTGTTGCCCCATACAGTCAGTGTTTGACTGTTCCCCCATACGGTCAGTGTTTCACTGTTCCCCCATACAGCCAGTGTTTGACTGTTGCCCCATACAGTGAGTGTTTGACTGTTCCTACATACCGCCAGTGAGTGTTTGACTGTTCCCTCATACAGTGAGTGTTTGACTGTTCCCACATAGTCAGTGTTTGACTGTTCCCACATACAGTCAGTGTTTGACTGTTCCTACCTACAGCCAGTGTTTGACTGTTCCCTCATACAGTGAGTGTTTGACTGTTCCCACATAGTCAGTGTTTGACTGTTCCCACATACAGTCAGTGTTTGACTGTTCCTACATACAGCCAGTGTTTGACTGTTCCCTCGTACAGTGAGTGTTTGACTGTTCCCACATACAGTCAGTGTTTGACTGTTCCCACATACAGTCAGTGTTTGACTGTTCCCACATAGTCAGTATTTGACTGTTCCCCCATACAGCCAAGGTTTGACTGTTCCCACATACAGTCAGTGTTTGACTGTTCCCACATACAGTCAGTGTTTGACTGTTCCCACATACAGGCAGTGTTTGACTGTTCCCACATACAGGCAGTGTTTGACTGTTCCACATAAAGTGAATTTTGGCTGTTCCAGGGAGGGCAGCTGTATTCCTACAGTGTCATCACAGTCGGCGCGTCACCTCGCCATGGCCTGGATTCATCACCGTATGCGGTAAGTTGTGTGTTCTGTGTTGGGAAGTATCCGAGAGATTTCTTCAACAATATCCAACTTCATCCTTATAAAATATGTGAAAATTGAATTTCTTCAAACATTCTGAAACAAAACTCTGAAACTGCATTGGCTAATGGTTCTTAAGGTTCAGTCTTCTTCCTGTCTTTATGCCCCGCCATATATGGCTGGGGGCATATAGGAGTTACCCTCCGTGTCCGTCCGTGCAGAAACAGGGAATGTACTCTATCCACTTCTCCTTAAAAAAACGCTCTGTGGAATTCAATGAACTTATACATGGGCTTTCTTGGGACTCTAATGGTGTGCATCTCATATTTTTTTTTTGTATTTTATTTTTTGTTTGTTGTAAGTTTAGAGACATTTGAACTTAGGTATATTTTGCTGAATTTCTCTATGATGATAGTGTAATAGGGAACCCTGTAGAAATTAGATTTTAGTACCTGCTGTTAAATTTGTTTCGCCCAGATTTAAGGGGAGACAAGTTGCTGGCGATGGCTGGGGTGTTCGATGTGTGGAAGCCCCAGATGTAAAAGTATCTGTGAGGGAGTTCAATGATAACCTACTGGCAATGAAGAATAAGAGGGTTTGTCTTATTGAAGGTCTTTATCCCAGAAGAAGCAGCGCCTATGAATTTTATTTAAGTTGCAAAGATGGTTGTCCATATATTGTCCACAGTCATCTTTCTGAGAAAGTGTTCCCACATAGTCAGTGTTTGACTGTTCCCACATACAGTGTTTCACTGTTCCCACATTGTCAGTGTTTGACTGTTGCCCCATACAGTCAGTGTTTGACTGTTCCCCCATACGGTCAGTGTTTCACTGTTCCCCCATACAGCCAGTGTTTGACTGTTGCCCCATACAGTGAGTGTTTGACTGTTCCTACATACCGCCAGTGTTTGACTGTTCCTTCATACAGTGAGTGTTTGACTGTTCCCACATAGTCAGTGTTTGACTGTTCCCACATACAGTCAGTGTTTGACTGTTCCTACCTACAGCCAGTGTTTGACTGTTCCCTCATACAGTGTTCTTACATAGTCAGTGTTTGACTGTTCCCACATAGTCAGTGTTTGACTGTTCCCACATACAGTCAGTGTTTGACTGTTCCTACATACAGCCAGTGTTTGACTGTTCCCTCGTACAGTGAGTGTTTGACTGTTCCCACATACAGTCAGTGTTTGACTGTTCCCACATAGTCAGTATTTGACTGTTCCCCCATACAGCCAAGGTTTGACTGTTCCCACATACAGTCAGTGTTTGACTGTTCCCACATACAGTCAGTGTTTGACTGTTCCCACATACAGGCAGTGTTTGACTGTTCCCACATACAGGCAGTGTTTGACTGTTCCACATAAAGTGAATTTTTGACTGTTCCAGGGAGGGGAGCCGCTGTATTCCTACAGTGTCATCACAGTCGACGCATCGCCCGCCATGGCCTGGATTCATCACCGTATGCCGGTAAGTTGTGTGTTCTGTGTTGGGAAGTATCCGAGAAAGTCGAGATTTCTTCAACAATATCCAACTTCATCCTTATAAAATATGTGAAAATTGAATTTCTTCAAACATTACGAAACAAAAACTCTGAAACTGCATTGGCTAATGGTTCTTAAGGTTCAGTCTTCTTCCTGTTTTTATGACCCCGCCATATATGGCTGGGGGCATATAGGGTTACCCTCCGTGTCCGTCCGTACGAAACAGGGAATGTACTCTATCCACTTCTCCACAAAAAACGCTCTGTGGAATTCAATGAACTTATACATGGGCTTTCTTGGGACTCTAATGGTGTGCATCTCATATTTTGTTTTTGTATTTTATTGTTTTTTTGTAAGTTTAGAGACATTTGAACTTAGGTACATTTTGCTGAATTTCTCTATGATGATAGTGTAATAGGGGATGAAGTCTATCCACTTCTCCACAAAAACTGCTCAACATAATTGAATGAACTTCTATATGTCTTTCGTAGGGACTCTAAAGGTGTGCGTTTCATAGTTTTTTATGCAATTTCTTAATTTTGTCACTTTTACAGATGTTTGAACTTAGTTGAATTTTGTTCTATTCAGCCTGTTCGTTCCATCCAACAGGGGGGTGTACGTTATCCACTTCTCCTCAAAAACTACTCTATGGAATTCATTTAGATTACACATGTGCTTTATAGGGACTCTAAAGGCGTGCATCTCATATTTTGATTTTGTATTTTATTTATTTTTCCAATTTTAATGCCGTTTGAACTTACATAAATTTTGTTGAATTTCTCTCTGAGTATAGTGTTATAGGGGATGAAGTCTTTCCACTTCTCCACAAAAGCTGCTCTACAGAATTGATTGAGCTTCTACGTGTGTTTCATTGGGACTCTAAAGGTGTGCATCTCATACCTTGTTCATCCAATTTCTTAATTTTGTCACTTCTACAGATGTTTGAACTTAGTTGAATTTGGTTCTATTCATCCTGTTCGTCCCATACAACAGGGGGAGTACTTTATCCACTTCTCCTCAAAAGCCACTGTACAAAACTCATTTAGCTTACATTTTATAGAGACTCTAAAGGTGTGCATTTCATACTTTGTATTTGTATTTTATAGTTTTTTGTATGTTTAAGAGACATTTGAACTTACATAAATTTTGTTGAATTTCTCTCTGATGATAGTGAAATAGGGGATTAAGTGTATCCACTTCTCCACAAAAACTGCTCAACAGAATTGATTAAGCTTATACATGTGTTTCATTGGGACTCGAAAGGTGTGCATCTCATAGTTGCATAGATGTTAATTGAACTTGTTCGTGAATTTTGTTCAATTATTGATCTTTATATGTCTTATGAATGTCAGCGGGGGCATCCGTGTCCTGGGACACAGTTTTTTCTTGTTTTAAGTTGTTACCAGTGTCCTACTAGTTACCAAGATCATTTAAGATGAGTTACATTACTCATTACAACTCTAGTTACATGTATTGGGATTTTCTTGTGGTGGAAGAACATCAGCCTCTGATCATGCTCAGAATACACACACACACACACACACACACACACACACACACACACACACACACACACACACACACACACACACACACACACACACACACACACACACACACACACACATTGAGCCTGATTTTCTGTGACGTGTGCAGGCTATTCTACAGACGGATGAAGACATTGAAGCATGGTTGGATTCCGACAACGTCCCGCTGCATAAAGTGAGTCTCCCTTGGTGAGCGAGTGAACGTTGTTTTATGGCTGATTCCATGTAGTGAGTGTTTGACGTTTCCCACACACTCTTTTCACCCTCCCATCATTCTTTCATTTTCTCCATTCATTCATTCACTCACTCACTCATTGTTCAATTTATGTTTTTTTCATTCAAACTGGAAATGCAGTGACAGAAGCATACTGTATTCACAATGGGGAAAAATAATAACAATTAAATATGTTGTTAGTAATTGTTAGTAAACTTACCTCTGGATTATGGTAGCCTTATTCCTGTGGATACACAGATACATAGATACATACAGAAAATCAAAAGAAATTTTAACACTAAGTCATAGCTATTCCGAGTGGTATACCTAATCTACCCCTGAGTTATCTCCCTTGATCCTGACGTCACTGTATTGTTCTCCTTGACCCCTTCATAATTTTTCTAAAACAACACATCTATGACATCTTCTAAGGATAATTTCGTGGGGGGCACAGGGTGGGAACTACTTCCCATAATCCAGAGGTAAGTTTACAAACAATTACTAACAATACATGTAATTGTTCCTAATTATAACGTAAACATTCCCTCTGGATTATGGCAGCCTGAATCCCAAGTAAGGAAGGAGGGGTACCCTTGGAAGATACTACCCTCTATACCACTAGCTGAGAGTTGATTACTCAACCTCCTAAGAATAACTATGACTTAGTCAGAGATAAATAATTTATCTCCAGTTTGGTCAGTAGCAGTGAGGGAATACATTCCCAGAGATGGTGAGTCTTCTAACTTCCCTCAGTTATGGTTGATATAATAGATATCATGATATTCCTAATCCGTAATAGTAGGGATTATATAATCCCTGACGCCATAAATCCGGATTACGATAGATTCCTATAAATGTATCATGATTCTCTCCGAATCCCAAAATATGTCATTAAACCTAATATTCCTTAAACTTATGACGTCACTTCCTGTTTGATGACGTTACTTTCGGTAAATATAACGTCATTCCAGATCCTTAAAGCAATCCCTAAGGATATTAGACTAATAACCGTCAGATTCCATTATATGATGTCACTTCCGGTTCTATGAAGTCACTTCCGGTCCTATTGACGTCACTTCTGGTGATATTTGACATCACTTCCGGAAATATGACGTCACTTCCGGTCTCATGACGTCACTTCCGGTTGATGACGTCACTTCCGGTGTCTCAACCTGAGCAAAAAATATATTTTCCAACCCGTTGCTATCAACCATAGCCGAGTAGTGAGAGACTCGGCCCATAATGTGCTCGGTTAGGAGATACCAATGAATACAATGATTCCTACCGTGGTATCTCCGGCCTACTGTAGGTTGTGTCTGATCCAATCCTGTAATCCTAGGCTTAGGTGTAACACCACCCCCCTCCCCCTTTTTCCCAGGGGCAGAGGCATGTGCTGCGCTGTCCACTAAAGGACCCAGTGGTGGAGACCCTCAAGAGAGGAAGCAACGTCTCTAAGATAGAAATGGATAAAAGTGTTAGATGATTTCCATTGGCGACTGGCAACTACTTGTTCCAACGGAACTGACGACCAAGCCACCAAAGATGAAGCCAAGGCTCTGATAACATGGGGAGATTAAAAGAGTCTTGATCCTGATCACAATATGCATAAGATATGGTTTTCTTGAACCAGGAGGAGATAGTATTCTTAGATATCTCAGAATCAACATTAGTTTAGCACGAAACGAACAATCGGTAATGATTGTGTCTAAATCTCAATGTAAGCTGCATCTACCAGCATAGCAGCTCAGATTGGGCACAAAAGTCTTGTCCTATCAGATCTATCATCTGATTATAACCTTCCGAAGTTTTAATGGATATAAAATCTATAGCATGTAAATCGGATACTCTGGATGCTGTAACAAAAACTAGGAGGAATGCCATCTTAAATGATAGGAACTTGAGTGAAGTGTCCTGCATTGGTTGATATGGTGACTCTTGGAGAGATTGTATTACCAAGATAAAACCCAAAAAAAAATTAGGAAAAATATGTCCCCTAATCTGGAAAACTGTAATCTTGTGAGAAAATGGGATCACACTGTCCCCTGTAATGATGGAATGACTCCTGATAATCTACACTGGATAGAAAAGAATGGGGGATCACACTCCTTGCTCTCCTCTACAGGATCCCTGTATGGGTGATAGGGAGTCCAAGACTCCTTGCTCTCCTCTACACTGGATAACTCGTCTCTACTTAGCATGGGGAGTCAAGACAAGACTCTCCTCTACACTGGATAACTTATCTCTACTAGCATCATCATACAAAGGCAGCCTCAATGGAACTAAATCAGATTGTGCCATAGCATTAGGCGTAGAAAACTGTCTGACATCAGCTGTAGGCCACGCTGGAACAACTGGGTATACAATACAACTGTGATGTTGAATCTTCTGCAAGAATCTTTTCCCAAAAAGAATTTGAGCGGTGGAACAATCGAAAGCTATCATCCCATGCCATGAGATGGTTTGATAAATTGTGAATGTCAAAATTTTGATAATTATGAGACCAGGTGTGAGAAATCCCTATCAAATATTGAAGCACTGGCGAGGGAAAGACCTATCCTATCAAGGATGACATGGGATTGTCAATTGCTATCTCCAGTCATGTAAGCAAGTCTTAGTTTGACAATATAATGAATATTGGAGATCACTTATCCTGCCGCGTTATGCAGTGAACGCAGACTTGCGAAATCACAAAAATAATTTCCCACACAGTGCCTAAACTTCTTACAGTGCCTCTCCAAAGGCGAGGTCACATTCCTCAAGAACGTACCTTGGTCAAATGAGAGAATCACTTTTTTAATTTGCTGTTGAAAAAACATGTGATAAAACTTAATTCCCTCTGTAGCGCACGACAAAATAACAACACGATGTTTACACCGTCCATTTTGAATGTATTAGCGCTCTGCCAATCAGCTTCATTCAATCCCAAGTAAATCCTATTTACCAACCAATGAAAAGAATCGTTTTATATTAGCTTAAACATGGCAGAAAGTAGGTCGACCAAATGACAGATGTTTTTAAAGAACATGGGATTGATGAAAATATTAAACTGACGACAGAATACACTGCCCAAGATCCGTAAGAAAGTAGAAGGATAATAGGCGCTTGTTAACAATAATAGATGTAATTTTATAACCATGTCCTTCCCATGTACGCAATGCACATGCACAATCAATGTTGACATATAACCTTTTATTAGTCATGCTGCCAAGAGCTAGAAATCTGAATAGTCACATGACTTATCCCACGGTGTACCCATTTACCCTGCTGGGTAAATAGAGACAATTGAATAAAGCCACCTGCCTGTATATGGTGAACTGGATATCGGTCTGGTTTCCAAACAAACGGTATATCGCACATGCCGTTCGTTATCAGGTTCCTACACCTGCCCTGACTACCTGAACTGCCCCAACCTTGTGAGGCAGCAGATTAATTTAAAACCATAGCTAGTCTCGAAAAAGCCGTGGTGATCCTAATTCAGTAATAATAATAATGAAGATAATACTGAAAATTATCGCAAAATCCAACCACAAAGTGAATGCTCAAACACGTACTATAAAGAAATGTTTGAGTTAATAGTGCAGTGAAAGAATGTAATCAACCATAATCCAGAGGGAATGTTTACGTTATAATTATCCTAGTTGCCGATATCAGCATATCATCCCATTGACTCATGACAATGACAACGACCATTACAACAGTGTTTCTGATGCAGTGAACGATGAATCGGGATGTGGCCGGATGTAAAATTAAGTTAGAACTCATGGGACAGAAACCCGGATTGTAGGTTCCTGCCATAAAGACACCAGTCGTGGTTCTTATTCAACATGGCCGCTTTGGCAGACATGTTGGTCACCTCGTTAGGGGCTTGTATAGTTTTCAAATTATCTGTCTTGGTATTGTGATAAAACATGTTCCATCTTTGCAGGCAATAGAGATGATTCACCCGATCGAAGGAGTGACCATGCATGCTGTGTCTCCCGTGGTCAACAACTCCCGGAATAAAACCCCTGACTGTGTCAAACCTTACGATCCAAAGTAAGTTAGTAGTATTGTGTACACTTGACATCTTCTAACCATGATGTTAGCCGCGGTCGCCAACAGGCAATGGTGTATTCTTCATCATTTGAGGTCATGAGATATTAAGATCGTAAGTGGAAACTAAAAACCGAGTGTATTTGGTTGATTGTGTGTTGTATCGAGCATGGGACATTGCTCAGAGCAATCACTGGTTAGTTTGATCCAAACTGGAATATTTACAGATAACTAGACCAGCTTCAAGGCTAAGTCTGGAGCAGATGTCAGCAAATATTGTATTTCACTGATAACAGGGCCAATAAAGAGGAAGACGTTGAAACAATATAAAATTTTCACAAAATGGCAATGTTTTTCTTATTCACCTGCCAAAAACACGTAGTTTTAAATCTAATCCATGTCACTGTCATATCATAGATAATCCATGTAACTGTCATGTCATAGATAATCCATGTCACTGTCATATCATGCTGATTGGGTGGGTTGGGGTAGCCTAGTGGTTAAAGCGTTGGCTCGTCACACTGAAGACCCGGGTTCGAATCCCTACATGGGTACAATGTGTGAAGCCCATTTCTGGTGTCCCCCGCCGTGATGTTGCTGGAATATTGCTAAAAGCGGCGTAAAACCAAACTCGGTCAGTCAGTCAGTCATCTGATTGTGAAGTTAAACAACAAACAAACACTAATCTGAGCTTGAGATATGATGTCATATTGATTCCAATAATGCTGGTTCAGGGACGATAGTGTTTGTCATTGCAGAAAACCAAAGACTACGGCTGCCAGCAGCTTTATGATGAACTGGCTGGGGAAGTCCAAAAGGTCGGACTCAGACACCGAGAAAACATCACCTGCAAAGAAACAGAAATCGGAGACCTAGTCACAAGTCACTTACAAAACAGATCTTTTATCTTTAACAAGCTGGGTTCACAAAGGATAATGGCACAAACATATGTTGAGATGGTAAAGAAAATCAAAAGAACTTCAAAATTAATGAAGGAAATCAAACAATTTGCACTTGGTGGGAATTTTGTGTTGGTAGAGCTGTGAGTTGATGGCCTGTTGTTTTCAGATAAAATATTTGTCAGTCGGTTTTGGAGGCCTGCTGATACATCCATTCCAAGCTGATGGCAGGCCATTTCACACAGTAAAATAGGAAATGTTAGGGATCTTAAACCAGTAATTGATGCCAGTCCTACATTTACTGTGTGAACTAGGCTTGACCATGTGGTGGTTCACAGTCCAGTCTTGCTACAATGTTAACTTGGAGTGTAAAGATCAGGGTGCCATTGTACAAAGCGATCTTAGCACTAAGGTGACCGTAACTTCCATACCTTAACATAGGCTTAAGGTAGCCTTAGCCAGGGCTCCAGATAATTTTTCAACATTAGGAGTACGTACTCCTTATATTTCCGAAAGAGGAGTACTGGAAAACCTCAAGAGTACGTTTAGAGTACTAGTTGGAGTATCAGTAATCTTGTGTTTCGTTTCATATAGGCACCACAACATTGCTACTCTTATGTAAACAGGTCAATAAATAATAAAACAATACTTTTAAAAACAAGAAGACAAAGTCATCAATATCCCCCGCAATAACTAAATACTCTTCAAGAATATGTCTACGAGTTATGATTATGTCAAATGTTTTGGCATGTATATAGCTACGTGTATATAGCTACGTGGAAGGAGAGTTCTGAAAGGTTTCAATGTTCTGCTCCAGAAAGGAGCACTACCACCAAATTCAGTTTAAGCCAACATTGTTGCCATGGAAACGCAAAAGAATATTTTATTCAGAAATCCAAAACTACCAAAAGGCACCAGTAGACCACCAGATCTATCTATGTGCCAAGTTTGGTGAAGACATATTGAAGACATATTGAACGGTTTTAGAGTTATGCTCCAGAAAAGACAAATGTGCGCGGACGGACAGAGTCCATTTTAATACCCCCTGCAAAACGGGAGTTAAAAATACGTTTGTAAATGATTCTAAGACCGTACACCATTGCTGTAGTGCATATCTGCTACGTTTTCTAAATTATTTCCTACCGTATCGTGCATATTTTATATCCGTACATACGCCGATATCGGCCCTTATCTGGAGCCCTGCTTAACGCTAAGGTTGTTTTGTACAATGGCACATTTTTATCAAATTTTTTGGTTACCTGTTTGTGAGGTGTTTTTGTAAGATGTGTTTTGTTACAGCTTGAGATTGACAAGAAGAGGATGACAATATATAACTGTAACAGATACTACGGTTCTGCATATGTTCATGTTTTACCATAAGTGTTCATTAATGTATTACTCCAGTTACCTGCATTTATTGTCTCACCAGTTTGTTGGAGGTGGTGTTTCATAGTGAACAACTGACATACAGTTTGTATGTACCAGTATTTCTTCCAAGGGGTTGACATTGTATATGTGACATTTGTCAAAAGCATTTATTTTAATAGAGTTTATTAAAAAGACTGTTACTTGTGTTTTGTTTCATCATATTGTGATGGGTTGTGCTGAAGTTGTGATATCCTGTCGTTCCATCTGTGAAATTACTTTTGAAGTATGAAGTGAAGACCTTCGTGAAGATCCGGGTTAGAATTGATCTTCAGTGACCCATGCTTGTCATAAGAGGCGACTAATGGGATCAGGTGGTCAAGCTCACTGACTTGGTTGGCACATGTCATCTTATCCCAGTTACGTAGATCAATGCTCATGCTGTTGATCACTGGTTTGTCTGGTCCAACCCGATTATTTACAGCTGGAGTATTGCTGAGAAACTATAATCACTCACTCACTCTAAGAAGTGACATGTTAAACTATAAAGGATGTTCAACACAATAATGGCTCTAATTGTTCAAGACCTTAAGATATGAAAGAAAAAGAACTGAAAATCTTTTAAAACATTCTCCAACACAAAAGGTCTAGTTTAAAATGTGTTGTGAAATGTGGACAGTATTTCAGCTAATCGATGGTGTGCTGGACTATACAATCCAGTGACTGACGTGAGCTACTGATCCCCCAGTTCCATTAGTCACCTCCGACAATATCATGGGATACTGAGCAGCAACCAGGGATGGTGGTGAGAGAAAGAGAATAGGGTTCAGATTTATTCATGCCAATCAAATTCTTAAATAATAAGCATCATCTTTGCACTCAAATCTAGACACCAGTGTTGGATCAATATTACCATCTCAGATCCTCACCATAGGTGATTATTTACAGGAATAATTGTTACTTAGCAGTATTCTAGGGCACGGCAATCGTAGCTGTATGAAGGTTGTAAGTCACACATGTTACAGCATAGGAGTTACGATAGTCGTAGCTCTATGATTGCTTTGCGAAACGGGGTCCGGCTTAGTTTAAATATATTTATATTTAGCTCTGCTTAATGCGAGTGAATACTATTTCTATGACTGCTTTCCTGCCCCGAAATGAAGCACATATGGTCTCACCCTAGGAAAGTGAGTTTGTTCATATGTGCACCTGGTTCACCTGGTAGAAAATGAGTATCTGGTGGGATAAGTCTTATGACTATTAAAATTCTAGTGCCTAACAGGCAGCTTGGGTTAACCAGGGTAATAATGTGTCAGCGCCATGGAAACAGGCACTTTATAAATAACCATTATTATTATTTTACCGCATCAGCAATTTTGACCTTTGTGCTCTTGTATTTAAAAGCAGGCTGTAAGTATTTAAGTGTTGACCAGGCAAACCAGTGATATATACAGCTCATCACCCTTCATGACCACTGGGGATGTTCCTTAAACAGCAGCATTTCAGTCATATGTTGCCCAAATAGTTGGTTCTGTACCACAATTTAGTGGTTGATATTGTGAACACATATATATAGAGGATATTATATGAGTGCCCATGTCATACTGTGTTTACGACACGAGTGCCTAAATGTTGGTATTTCCCGTTTCGCTCGGGATATACCGATATTTAGGCACAAGTGTCATAAACATAGTATGATATGGGCACTCTGTTTATTACCGAAGTCGTCAAATTGAGGAAAATAAACCCAAATCTACTTTCAAACACAGGCTGGCTACTTGCCGTCGCCGCATGTAGAACACAACGTCACAGAAGAAACGTGACGTCATAGCATTGTTCATGACGTCACATCACCATGACAAAGTGATATTTTGCCCTAGGGCATCGTATGAAAAATATGAACCCCGATATGTTCGCCCTCGTAGGTAATAAAATAAAATATGTACTACAACATAGTGGTTGATATAATGGGCAACTCTCTATGCTGTTGGGTGTGATAACGTGATACCATGCTATCAACCAAGCTGATCCGTGTTGCTGTTGGATGCGATAACGTGATACCATGCTATCAACCAAGCTGATCCGTGTTGCTGTTGGGTGTGATAACGTGATACCATGCTATCAACCAAGCTAATCCGTGTTGCTGTTGGGTGTGATAACATGATACCATGCTATCAACCAAGCTGATCCGTGTTGCTGTTGGGTGTGATAACGTGATACCATGCTATCAACCAAGCTGATCAACCATGATACCATGCTATCAACCAAGCTGATCCGTGTTGCTGTTGGGTGTGATAACATGATACCTTGCTATCAACCAAGCTGATCCGTGTTGCTGTTGGGTGTGATAACGTGATACCATGCTATCAACCAAGCTGATACGTGTTGCTGCCGGGACCTATTTTTACGAGGAATCTTCTCAGGGTTGTGATAATGGATCAACTGGATAAATACAAAATGTGGAGACAAACTGACATAAAATTGATTTATTAATCTACAGTTGATATCAACTTTTCTGTTTGAGGATGAGATCTTTCAGAGATTCGAACATTCCTTCCTCTAGACTCTGTCTGATTGTCTTGAAAAACTGGAAGTAGTGATGAAAGTTGTGTCTGAAACAAAAGAATGTAAATACATGAATAGGTTGTAACTTAAGTACTGTCGGAAATAGAAAAAAACCCTGTTTTTTCACATTCATAGCTACAATTTATGAAGTTAATATGTGAAAGTGTGAAATATCTGTTAAACTAAGTTCGGCCTAACTACAGTCTCAGTGGTAGGAAGATAGGAAACGTAAAAAAGGGACTTTACTGAGGAGAGATTAGTGCAGAAATAAGCAATGCAGGTTTGTTTTAAGTCCAAAGCGACTTATTTAGAACAGACCATGGCTTTATGCAAATTAGTGTGCGATGATATTGTATTTCAAAGGACACTTTTTAAATGCCTATTTTGAAACTAGACTTAGCTTCATTATAAACGATAGCTGACGTAAAAAATACTAACTTTAATACTGAAACTATGAAGGATGTAGCTACCATGGAGCCTCACTATCACTATAAAAAGAAACAGGTAGGACCCAAAGCAAAACCAGGACGGGTGTCGCAGATGGTGGTTGGGGTCATACTGGGGGATAGAGATATCAGCTTTAATAAGATAATCCTTTAGGGGAATTAAACTGGGGGAAGTAAACGGCATGTCTTAACAATTAAGAAATAATATCCAGTCCTTTCTATCTTGGGGTGGTCTTGCCACCTATATATTTTGAGAATTTAATATGATAGTTGATTTAAGCTTTTCTATGGGTATCATATTGTTTTACATATCTCAACATAAAAGTTATGAAAGACACGTAAGATGATAATCAATAGATGAGACATATTCAATACACATGAAAAATGCATAAAATATCTTTGAGATGACCCCTTGTGCCCGTAGGCAGCACATGCATTTCATGCCAGGTGAGTTGACGGTCCGTCGACTGAGCGACCTAATTGCCATCTATAGTCTGATCTATTGTTTTCAGCAGCTATTCGTATTTTTTCTAAGTATTGCCCAATTTTACGAGTAAACATGCATTTCTAGATATCCTATTACACATCCCACTGAATGCCCAGATTAGGCGATGTGGGTTATTTCATCATATGCTACTTGCAGTTGTGTAAATTTTAGGGATACAGAGTCCGGCCTAAAAACAGTTTTTTGTCCTATTTCCGACAGTTCTTTATTGAGTTTAACATGTATGGAACTATAACAACACTTCATATACAAGTTTAGTTTGACCATTTTACATATCTGTGAACAGCATGATAATTGACAATGTGATCAAAGAAACACTGTACTATGACTGACTGAGTTTGGTTTTACGCAGCTTTTAGCAATATTCCAGCAACATCAGGCGGGGGGACACCAGAAATGGGCTTCACACATTGTACCCATGTGGGGATTCGAACCCGGGTCTTCGGCATGACGAGCCAACACTTTAACCCTTAGGCTACCCCACCGCCCCCCTGTACTATGAAGCTACCTGTACTGTACTACTGAGGTAAAGTCAGTAAACATAATTCTGGGAATAAAAACATGGAAAAAAGAAATGTATTAAACTAAATCTGAATTACTATCAGACTCCTGCAAATTCATCATATCTACTGAGGCAAAAGTCGGTACATAATTCTGGGAATAAAAAACATGGAAAAAGAAATGTATTAAACTAAATCTGAATTACTATCAGACTCCTGCAAATTCATCATATCTACTGAGGCAAAGTCGGTAAACAAATTCTGGGAATAAAAACATGGAAAAAAGAAATGTATTAAACTAAATCTGAATTACTATCAGACTCCTGCAAATTCATCATATCTACTGAGGCAAAGTGGGTAAACATAATTCTGGGAATAAAAACATGGAAAAAAGAAATGTATTAAACTAAATCTGAATTACTATCAGACTCCTGCGAATTCATCATATTTAGGGTATACATGTATTTGAGTAGGGATATAAACATTCTGTATTGGCAAAGTTGAGATATTTTACTCACAGATTTGGGTGAGTGAGTTTGGTTTAAGCCCGCTTTTAGCAATATTCCAGCAATATCACGGCTGGGGGACACCAGAAATGGGCTTCACACATTGTACCCATTTGGGGCAGTAGGGTAGCCTTGCGGTGAAAGTGTTCGCCCATCATGCATCGATTCCCCACATCTGTACAATTGAGAAGCACATTTCTGGTGTCCACCGCCGTGATATTGTTGGAATTTTGCTAAAAGCAGCGTAAAACCAAACTCACATACTTGCAGATTTGATGGTACAAAACTGGATTTGAAACAGAACGTGTACCTTGACATACTTTGACAAAATTGATGCAAAGATTAATGAATGGGTTGAGTATGACGACTTGAAACACTCACATCATTAGCAACACACCAGCCAGAAGCTCTGAAGTGTTGAGGAGATGGTTGACGTAGGATTTAGTGAACTTCTGACAGGTATAACAGGGACAGCCCTTCAGTATCGGGGAGAAGTCGTCATGGTAACTGAAACAAAGAATTTACACCATTCTGATTTATTCTTCAAAGAAGCTTTCTGTGAAAGTTGGAAAGGCGAGGACAGCCTCTTGTAATATTTCTGGAACAAAACACTATGGTCATATGATTTAGAAAGTCCATGAGCAGGTGGTAACACTGCCGTTGGACATAAAATGTTTTACACATCATACAGAGTTCTATGCTGATCGAGTCGCTGACCCTGAGACACATGACCCCATTGTCTTGAGAAATATGATATATTCCTGGTACCTGCCACATGATTCCAGTTGACACCAAAAAGCAGGTAGTGTGTTGACCCATTTGGACCATTATTTCCCTAAGTGTTGACATCTACACACATGGATTGCATCAAAAACTAAAGGTAAAAAAGTAATAGTTTCAATATGGCCGCCATGGTAGTCATGTTGAAATCTGAGCCTAATTCTTTAACCATGACATCCTTGTTACGGTGACAAGATTTCAACTGATCTTACACTTTATGATTACACAATGCATGATCTTACACTTTGTCTTTCAAGGAGATCTCGTATCCTGTACTTGTGACGGTGTCCCCCGCAGACTCCGGATGCACTGGTTGGTGGTGGTCGTACTGGAATATCAAGGCTCCTCCCCTCTCAGTCACTGTGTAGGGGTAGCTGCCAGACAGAGGGTAGCTCATATATACTTCTCACAACATGTTGAAGAAATACAGATTATTACACGAGAAAGTATGTCATACGACTTTTACGAAACGAGTGTGAAGTTTCGTATTTTGCACGAGTTTCGTATAAGTCATGTGACACACTTGCGAGTGTAATAATTTCTTTAATCATTTTATTCATGTACATTTGTGCAGTAAAACACGATGAGGTGAGGTGAAATTGGGTTTAACGTCGTGCTTGAGAATATTTTGCTCATATGACGACGTGCATGCGTGTGTATGTGTATGTGCAGCTGCTTGTACTAGCCCAGACTTAAGCTGGTTTTATAGTGCTAGCGCACTGAGATACCATGCCGCAGTGAAGCATGAATACCCCACTCAGACACATTATACTGACTCCGAGCCGACCAGTCCTTGTTGTACCCACTAATGCCGCGCGCCAGGCAGGGACCAACAAGTACCATATTTTAACGTCTTTGGGTATGACGCGGTCGGGGATTGAACCCGCGACCTTCCGCTCTCCGGGCGGACGCTCTAACCACTACACCAGGGAGGCGGTCAGTAAAACAAGGTAAGCAAGTGTGACTGCCCTGTTCAATGACGTCACGTTCAATTGTTTAATGGAGTCACAGACGACGAAATAAAGAAACAATGGTTGCTAGGCAAAATTGGTATGTGCACATATGATATATATGACACTGGTTACGGTTTACCATATGGATATTTCTGGTGTCCCCCGCCGTGATGTTGCTGGAATATTGCTAAAAGCGGCGTAAAACCAAACTCAGTCAGTCAGTCATATGGATAATAATGCCCATTATTTGATGGATGGTGCATTTTGTGTGATTTGATCCTTGTTGCCAGTACATTCGTAATGCATGTGGTTAGAAAAGATGAGTTTAGAATTTGCATTGCACTGACTGACTGAGTTTAGTTTTACGCCGCTTTTAGCAATATTCCAGCAATATCACGGCGGGGGACACCAGAAATGGGCTTAACACATTGTGCCAATGTGGGGAAACGAACCCGGGTCTTCGGCGTGACGATCCAACGCTTTAACCACTAGGCTACCCCACCGCCCCCGAATTTGCATTGCAAGAAGCTTACCCATGAACTGTCATTTTACGACAGATAAGGGTGGTGGGGGTAGTTTAGTGATCCAGTCTGGCATCATGTAAACTAGTGATTGATAGTATGAGCATAATTGCTACTGTCTGGGCATGATTAACAAACAATCCTCATTGAAGTTGATCCTTAGAACAAGCATGGTCCACCAAGGAGTCATACTGCCTGTATACCCATACTGCCTCCGTCCTTAGTATAGGATTGGGGCCGAGATAATCAAGCTGTGGGTGTACATAGCAACACATGGCAACTGTCGTCATTTCAGGAGACTCTGGCCATGTAAGGAGATTTCAATCTAATGCACACACTTTGGTGACCAATAATATCATATGTCATATATTGTCATGTGTCTACGTGTATATACCACGTGTCTACGTGGACGTATCTTACCAGCTATCAAAAACATCAATACCACGTTGTACTGCATGAAGAACTTCATCTGGCGGCCATATTGACTGCATGAGTCTTGGTTTGTCGTCTGGGAGGTGGTTCTGTCAAGGGAGGTAACTTATGTCTTAATACTGCACAACCGTAACATCTACAGTCTGTTTGAGTCAGAAACGGACCGATGAATTGCAAATTTTATCATTGTACAAAATTGCCACATAAATATATATAGTACACATGTTTATCATTTACTAATACCCAACAGCTTTCTTATATTTGAAAATTGTCCGGACTCCACCAAAAAAGTTCTTTAAGAAACTATCATTACAATTTTGACGCAGTTCACTATTTGTTACAAGGGAGGAGTGCAGAGAAAGGGACAGCCAGGTGTGCGAGAAAGGATGGAGACGGCACAGCACAGGCTAATGAATCAATAGCTTGGTGGGCACTTGTGCACATGCTTCTCTAACACCTGGCCTGTCCCTGGCTGTCCCTTCCTCCCTCGTAACAAATAGTGAACTGTGTCAAAATTGTAATGATAGTTTCTTAAAGAACTTTTTTGGTGGAGTCTGGAAAATTTTCAAATATAAGAAAGCTGTTGGGTATTAGTAAATGATAAACATGTGTACTATATATATTTATGTGGCAATTTTGTACAATGATAAAATTTGCAATTCATCGGTCCGTTTCTGACTCAAACGGACTGTAGTTTCACTCATCACTACTGATTGTTTTACACCAAAACATTTTATTTCTGGGATGATGGATACACCCGGTCTTGTTGCCGTGAACATGATTGTAAAATACAGTGACACCTGGCTAATCCAGACACCTTTGTAAACAACATGCTAAGATTCATCATCTTGACCGTGGTGTGAAATTTGGTCAAGAAATATTGAAGTCTTTGAGCGATGCTCCTAAAACAAAATATGAATACCAGTGTTTTCTGCAATATTTCTTCAATGTCGGACATCTTGAAAGTTTCAGATGAAGGGCCGAGACTGTGAAATCCTTCAATAACAAAACCTGTGGAGAAGAAGACAACAGTTGTAATGATCGTTGCAAACTTCAGAAACATCAACCTAACATGCAAACATCTCTCGACATGGAAGCAGCTTCTTTCTGTTTTCATGAACTATGAACTCCCAGACAATCAGCTTCTATTTCAACTGACCTGCGACCGACCTGGCTGCTGTTTCCTTTGCTGACCGTTCTCTCTCCGCTACGTTCCAGCCTCCCTCCAACACCCCAAACACCTCAGTGTTCTTCAGCCTCTGCAAATACACCAGAGTAGCGATAATATATATGATTTTTACCATGCACTGTAAATCATGAATCATGCTTGACTATTTGCAATCTCATTTCATGTTGTGGGTACACTTGTCAACAACCATTAACAACAATGGATAGGGACAATCAGCATTACAGTGAGAATATGTTGCCAGTGGGAATATGGATCCAGGGAGAATGTTGAGCTGGGGAGAATATGGAGAGCTGGGGAGAATATGGATGCATGGAGAATATGTAGCTGATGGGAATATGGAGCCAGGTTGAATGTGGCTCCATGGAGAATAAGTAGCTGATGCGAATATGGAGCCAGAGTGAATGTGGAGCCATGGAGCCAGTTGGAATATGGTGCCAAGGAGAATATGGATCCAGGGGTAATATGGAGCTGGGGACAATATGGATAGCTGGGGAGAATATGGATCCATGGAGAATATGTAGCTGATGGGAATATGGAGCCAGGTTGAATGTGGCTCCATGGAGAATAAGTAGCTGATGCGAATATGGAGCAAGAGGGAATGTGGAGCCATGGAGCCAGTTGGAATATGGTGCCAGGGAGAATATGGATCCAGGGGTAATATGGAGCTGGGGAGAATATGGAGCCATGGAGAATATGTAGCTGATGGGAATATGGAGCTGGGAGAATATGAAGCCAGGGTGAATTTAGAGCTGGAGAGAATATGGAGCCAGGGAGAATATGGAGCCAGGGTGAAAGGGTGAATGTGGAGCCAGGGTGTATGTGGAGTTGGTGGGAATATAAAGTTGTCATGAATATGGAGCCAGAGTGAGTGAGTGAGTTTAGTTTTATTCCGCTTTTAGCAAAATATTCAAGCAATATCACGATGGGGAACACCAGAAAAGGGTGTACCCATGTGGGGAATTGAACCTGGATCTTCGGCGTGACGAGCACACGCTTTAACCACTAGGCTACCCCACCGCCCCTGGAGCCAGAGACAAATTGAGAAGTGATTACATATGAATAATCTCCTCATGATCTAGTGCAACTACCATGATTGCACAAACCTCATAATTGGACTGTTTTTGTAATATTTGATCCAGGAATGATAATGTTCTGTCTACAGATTTCACTGCCCGTTTTCTTGATGACTCAGCATTTGTGTCATGATCACAGAGGGCCTGGCACCAGTCTGGCTGGACTGCCGACTGTATCTTCATATACAGATCCACATCAATCTGAAACATGTCACATATCACAACAGTCTCGACCTGGTTGGGGTGGTGTGGCAGATATGATATTAAGATATTTGACATAGTGAACCTGCAAAAACAATTGTTTTGGACAAAAATCTTCACTGGTACAACATTTATCAAGAGAATAGTATGATGACTTCTTCAGATCTTGTTTAAACAATACCACTCAATAAAGGTTAAACAACACCTGATTCAATCATAATACCACGGGCGGATACAGCTTTTTGAGAAAGAGGGGGTGCATAGTTCATTTACACCCGTTTTCACGAGAGTTTCAATGATCATTTAATAAACTTTCAGGACAAAAAAGGGGAGGAGGGAGTTGAAATGTACTTAAGGTAAAACTAACAGATGTTCACTATAACCATACATAGTTGCAAACATGTAGTATTTCAATGTAAATTATGCCAGTAGAGTGATCTCCCTTAGCTCCAGTGTAATGGCTGCCATGCTAAACACATAGTTCAGATTTAAAGGACCTTTTAGAGAACAGTCATCGTTCTATTATATGTCCTAAGACTATTATACATGTTAGTTCTGCCAGGTCCTACCTTCATCTTGCCACCTTTCGTCCACACTGCGCTTCCACCCTTCTCGTTGTACCCAGATGGAATCTCTACATTTGTGTCATGCAGAGATGTGTACACCAGAAACTCCTGACAAATAGAACACATAACACATAAAACAAACACATATCACAAGCATCAGATCTCCACTAGACTGATCTGAATAGAATAATTCAACAGATAATATTCAACGGTTTACTTCCTCTCTGGAAACGGATAAACGACAGTGGACAGATAAAAGGACAGACTTGGTGATCACAGTCAGACTAGATCCCCATATATTTCAAACTAGAGTGAGGGTGAGTTAGTTTAGTTTTACGCCGCACTCAGCAATATTCCAGCTATATGCTGGCGGTTTGTAAATAATCGAGTCTGGAACAGACAATCCAGTGATCAACAGCATGAGCACCGATCTGCACAATTGGGAACCGATGACATGTGTCAACCAAGTCCGCGAGTCAGACCACCCATTCCCGTTAGTCGCCTCTTACGACAAGCATGGGTTGCTGAAAATCTAACCCGGACCTTCACGAGTATATTCAAACTGAAGGCATAATAATGACACAAGTTCTTTGTTAGTTGTTGAACACTTCAATGAATGATGGCAACCTGTAAACATGGTAAATAATCGTCGAGATATGAGGGCATGTAAGGTACAGATTCAATCAGCCTGAATACCCGATCATTCCTCTTGAGATGAAAACTACTATAATAATAATGAGAAGACAGGCAAGATATTGTGCTCAAAACGCACAATCTGATCATTATTACCCCGGATAACCCAAGCTGCCTGTTAGGCACTAGAACGTTAATAGTCTCACGACTTATTTCAGCGGGTACCCATTTTCTGCTGGGTGAGGTGAGGTGAAATTGGGTTTAACGTCGTGCTTGAAAATATTTCGCTCATATGACGACGTGCATGCGTGTGTATGTGTATGTGCGTCTGCTTGTACTAGCCCAGACTGAAGCTGGTTTTATAGGGCTAGCCCACTGAGATACCATGCCGTAGTGAAGCATGAATACCCCACTCAGACACATTATACTGACTCCGAGCCGACCAGTCCTTGTACCCATTAATGCCGAGCGCCAGGCAGGGACCAACAAGTACCATGTTTTAGCGTCTTTTGGTATGACGCGTTCGGGGATCGAACCCGCGACCTTCCGCTCTCCGGGCGGACGCTCTAACCACTACACCATGGAGGCGGTCCTACTGGGTGAACAGAGGCAAGTTTGAACAAACTGAATTGCCTAACATTACCCTATAGCAACATAACAGAAGTAATCTACTGCAGTATATATAAATTCTAAGTGAAATCATATGTATAAATGCTTTTACAAATTAATATAACTAACCATTAGGCCAAGATAATTCACTGGAAGTGATTTTAATTCAAATTTATAGAAAACATCAGACAAGGAGCAAATTAAATCAGTAATATTTTAGATGAAAATCTAATTTACAAGGCTTAATATCAGGATTGGAAATTAGGTGGGTGGGTGAGTTTAGTTTTAGGCCACTTTTAGCAATATTCCAGCAATATTACGGCGGGGGACACAAGAAACGGGCTTCACACATTGTGCCCATGTGGGGAATCAAACCCGGGTCTTTGGCATGACGAGCGAACGCTTTAACCACAAGGCTACTCCAATGCCCTTGGAAATTAGGGCTTTGTATTGCCTGAATATGGTATTGCAGCATATTGTGAAACTTACCTGCATAGCTGCAAATCTGGCCATCCCCTGACCATATTCTTTAAGTGCTTCATGGTGTTCAGCTCTGGAATCAGAATCAGAAATAAGTTCTGGTATCCATCTGATCTGGTTGAATCCATTTGGGGCTGGTAACATTTAGAAGTGACCAGCCCTGATGTCTGGCTGTTTTTTTGGCTTATTTCACACACGGATAATACTGGGATCCATACCTGATTTGACTTCATTATCCTAACCCCAGACAATCCCATTATCCTAACCCCAGACAACCCCATTATCCTAACCCCAGACAACCCCATTATCCTAACCCCAGACAATCCCATTATCCTAACCCCAGACAACCCCATTATCCTAACCCCAGACAACCCCATTATCCTAACCCCAGACAACCCAATTATCCTAACCCCAGACAATCCCATTATCCTAACCCCAGACAACCCCATTATCCTAACCCCAGACAACCCCATTATCCCCAGAGACAACCCCATTATCCTAACCCCAGACAACCCCAATATCCTTACCCCAGACAACCCAATTATCCTAACCCCAGACAACCCCATTATCCTAACCCTGCCTTAATGAGCCCACACCCATTACCTTCCACAGGCAACTGTACCAAAGGGGTTTCCATATGGTAGGAATAATATGTTGGAGATATAAAGTGTGTTGTGTGATCCTTTGTCTCTACTATGAGGCCCTGGGCCCCGTTCCTCAAAGCAATCGTAGCCCTACGACTGTCGTAAGTCAATGTTAAAGTATGGGAGTTACGATCATCTTAGCGCTACAATCGTTTTGTGGAACGGGGTCCTGGACGTTCTGTTGATGGGGGAGTATGTAACTGGGAGCTCATCATCCTGTAGAAAACATCCTTGCCTTGTCAGCTTGCTGATGAGCTAAAACTCATGTGTATAAGGTGTGCAATGCAAGATCAGAAGGTCTGTGGTTCGAATCCCATCACAGGACTCTGAAATTGTATGGACATAGAAAAGAATTGAAGTACTTACACCATGCTGACAGCCATATTAGCAACTGGAGGGAGATCCTGTATCTTGTGTAGCATGTCTCGGGTCAGATGGGGAGCACTGCCTGTGGGGGGTAACATCACACAGATGTACGTGCCTCATCATGTTCACAAAATACTTCTTTTGTTAGTATGCTGTTGTTTAACGCTACACTCAGCAATATTCCTGCTATATGATAGCAGGCTGTATATAGTCGAGTCTGGACTTGATGATCCAGTGATCGACATCATGAGCATCGATCTATGCAAATGACATACAATGACAAGTCAACCAAGTCAGGAGTCTGACGACTCGATCCAGTTAGTCGCCTCTTACAACAAACATACTTAATATGTCTGCACCCATCTGGCAGCATTAGCTACCATACCTTTGTTAACAACTTTGTCATCCAATCAAATCATTACACTCATGATCACAAGAAAGTTGATGTAACTGATCAGAGATACAGTGACATCACTCAAGAAATGAAGCCCTCTTGGTGAATAGGTCTCTGGCATGTGTGAGCGTGCATGCATGTGTGAAATTCTAATACCTGTATTATCGTGAATGAGTGAAACCCTGTTAGTCCAGAAATCTTCCTTCCTGGGCCCACTTGCACAAAGATATCTTAGCACTACAATGATCTTACTCCCATACTCTAACATAGCCTCAGGATGGTTGTAGAGCTAAGATCACTTTGTGCAAATGGATCCAGGTGATTAAACGCCATTAATTATAATCCAAGGGTCTTTGCAACATTATTTGTTAATCCAGATATTTATCAACCAAATAGAGGTTTGTTGTTTTGTTTAATGCAAAAATCAGTCACAGTTATTTTGTGTCTATGGCGTCTACCATATCTACTTGCCCAAACTTTCACCACATTCAACATCAGGGTTTCAGTACATTCACTTTCAGGCTTTCACCTCATTCACTATCAGGATTTCACCACATTCCCTATCAGATTCAGGGTTTCAGTACATTCACTATCGCTGTCAGGATTTCACTACATTCACTATAGTCATTTCACTACACTTACTATCAGGGTTTCACCACATTCACTATTAGGGTTTCAGTACAATCAGTCAGCGTTTCACTACATTCACTATAATCATTTCACCACATTCACTATCTGGGTTTCACTACATTCAATATCAGGATTTCAGTACATTCACTCTCATGGTTTCACTGCATTCACTATCAGGGTTTCACTACATTCACCATCAGGGTTTCACTACATTCACTATGATCGGTTCACTACATTCACCATCAGGGTTTCACTACATTCACTATAATCGTTTCACTTCATTCCTCATCAGGGTTTCACTACATTCACTGTCAGTGTCATGGTGTTACCATGTTTGCTCTCAGTTTCACCATGTTCACAGAAACATAATTTCAAACTGGTACAGCTGAGAGAGTTATTTGTGGTGGGCTGTTGATCCAATGTTCAGTGAACTACAGTATCTGTACACACCTCCTCTTGTGTACAACATACACATTGGCGTTTCCACTGTCTTCTGGAATCTTCCGATGTTCTCAATTGTACCCAAACGACAGCTCCCATTTGTAACACTTTTCACTACAAATTTCATTATATCTCTCTTCATACATCCAATTGCTTCTGGAAAAAAAACCCAGACATGATTGTGATTAATTAAAAGTAGCTAAACTTACTTACAAATGATTGATTATATATTAGAATCTCGGACACTCGTGAATCTTGACGTGTTTTTAATTTGGTTCCTTCTTTTCTCTTTGAAAGTATATTTTTAACTGCATGCAGATTAAAAATGACACTGACATAAAGCTGTTATCCATTTACCATGTTTTCTGGTCTAGAAATAAAATGAGAATATCTAACAATGCTCAGAGAAACTGAAGAACACCAGATATGAGATAACATATACTTTCCAGTTATATTCAGTTTAACGAATTTAAATCCATTCCGTTCCGATTAACACACACTAGTTTAAAAATAAAACTTACCCTAAGATTGTAAACAAAACGAACACTTCAACATGGCATAATACACGTGAAATCACAATCCGGAAGTCTAAAGGAGCAGTCAATGTACTGAAAATATTATTCTAAATTATGAAGTATTTATTTCGCTGTTGGTTTCAAAATGTGGCTACATATGCTTCATTATATTTGTATTAATATTCATAAATATTTTATTAGAAATGGATTATGTTTTTCTCACACATACGACAATTTGTCGTGAATATTCCTTCAAAGAATGTTCACTGTATGCTCCCTACAGAAATATTTACCTTCTTTGAAGAGTGGTTCCTGTTGAGAAGCGACGTCGAAAATTGTAAACAATGGTTAATTTACACTTTCCAGCAACTCTGACCGAAGAAGAGGAACAGCTTAAACTCAAATATGCCAAACTCAAGAAAAAGGTAAGCAGAGAAGGTGTTGTCTTGGCGATAAAGCGTTCACAGCTCAAAACTCATTCTTTCTCTGTTCTTGGTTTTGCTCACTTCACTTTCTGACATAGATCTAGCTTACTTGTTGCAATGAATCACTTCCAGATTTGTACATGCAACTTGGGTAAGAGTTCCTCCCGTTCCCCATCCCAAATAATATTTATAAATATACTAAAATTATTAACAAAACTTAACACAACAATTACTAGAGAACTCACAAAATGACTAAAAGTCCAAAATTTAAGTTAGGGTTAGGTTTAGGGTTAGGTTTAGAGTTAGGTTTAGGGTTTGGGGAACGGAAGGAACTCTTTCCGCAACTTGTTTTTACAATGAAATGAAAAGTAGTTCAACATTTGTTAGGTTAAGACGTCTCGAGCAACATTTGTAAGTGTTTTTTTAAAATAATTTTTTTACCATGTGTGTTGCAGAAAAAGGCCTTACAGCAGATGAAAACAGCCAAACCAGAACCACAGGTTGTGAAAGAAAAGGAAGCAGCTAAAAGACGTAAGTATGGGTTAAATGGTACAGTCATATAGTTTATTTTGTGCTATTTCACTGACAAAGTATTAAAGGTCACATGCAAACAAAAAAATCAAACATAATTGAAACACAATTATCTCTTATTCATGACATATAATATACATTGCTGATTATGAAAAAGCATATAAACAAAATTATAAGTGTACAATCGCAAATCAAAATTGCAATATTTTGTACTTGGGTTTACTTCCCTCGAAACGAAGCACCCGGGATACCGAACCCAGTCAGATCGGGTGGTTGGTTCATTTGCCGATGCCCTCATGGCTCATTGTGTGTGTGTATATAGAGATGTTGGGTTTTGTAAATACATGCTCATTTTTTGTGTATACATTTTGCAATCAACAGACATCATAACATGTCATATGTACATTTAGTATCACACCTGCCTGTCTGTGTAATTTCTTAATGTGACAGAGACTGAACTCGGTTGCACGAGCCATAAATCAATGTGTTTTGTTTATGGTGTATAGCCTGATAGGTGTTAAGTTCAAACTGCATGTGGTCAGTGATCGAAGTTGTGTATTGCATATTGTCATTAGCAGACAGGCAGGCAGACACGTAGGTGTCAATAAAACAGACATTGAGTTTTGGCTGTGACAAAGACATATCTATATCACAGTTAGCAATTCTGTCAATGCTAAATAATGACATTGCTTTTAAATATCGAACTGAGAAAGTGACTCGGTAAGAAGAATGTGTGGTGAACTAGACAAATGAAATTATATAAACAGTTAAATCGGTAATCTACTGTCATAACATATAAAAAGCTCGTGCCTGTGAAATATCAACAAAACATTAGAAAAATAGCTCACACCAAAGCCTTCACCGAGTATTCACCGCCAGCGAAGGTTTTCCGTCTTGAAATGTCGAACGCCTCACTGGTTGACACATAGCTGAGTAGATCTAGATCCTAACAAGGTTAGTCATGAAAAATTATATCTTGAAACTAATCTTAAACCATTAAAAGAAAGAAGGCGTGACATCAACTTGGTAAACTTTTACAAAATGAATAACAATCTCGCCCCAGGCTACTTATGTGACCTTGTACCTAAAACTGTTTCTAACAATAGTCAATACAATCTCAGAAACAATCCCAAGTTACAAACAATAAACTGTAGGGCAAAAAACATATGAAAAATCATTCCTACCAGACACAATTAAAATTTGAAATTCGTTGCCTGACGACGTCGCGAATGCTAATACAACAGGCGAATTTAAAACTCTGTTAATAAATTATGAATCGAATAATTATCTTGACCTGAATTATGGTGGCCGATTTTGTCAAATTGTACACAGTCGTCTCAAGCTTGGCGGCAGTGATCTAAATGCGGATAAAATCAACAGATATATATCAACTAATGCCGAATGCGCTTGTGGATACCACAATGAAAATGTTATTCATTATCTCTTTACATGTGAATTATATACTGCCATCAGAAATAATGCATACTTTTATATAAGTGGTCACAGCCTCCAAACTGTGTTATACGGAACACCGCCACAGTGCTCCAGATAATTTTTGAACACCAGGAGTATGTACTCCTTATTTTTTCAATATAGAAGCACTCGAAAACCTTAAGCCTACATTTAGAGTACTGAATGGAATTTAATGGAGTATCAGTAATCGTGTGTTTCGTTTCATATATGCACCACAAGATCGCTAGTCTTGTGTAAACAGGTCAATATACAATAAAACAATACTTTTTCAGATAAATATGTCTGTAAATGATTCTAAGACCGTACACCATTGCTGTGGTGCGTATCTGCTACGTTTTATAAATTATTTCCTACAGTATTGTGCAAATGTTTTATCCGTACATAGTCGATACAGCCCTTATCTGGAGCCCTGCCGCCAACTACCAACAAAGAAAATAAGAAGATTATAGAGTCTCTCCACCAATTCATTTGCAAGACTAAACGTTTCGATAAAACGGTCTAAATGAAATAATAAATAACAATTATCTTAGCAAAAAGTAATGAAATGTAACTGCGAGTGCGTTTTTAATTACAATTCTCAATGCACATACAATGTTCCGATTTTAGATATTCATATTGTCTATTTCATTCTGTCTTTTGTCTAGTTCTTGTGTGTTCTGTTTGTGTTATATTTGTACTGGTGAGGTATTCACAAAAGCAAAGCTTTGCTTGTTTACCAAACCAGATTCTTTCAAGAATAAAAATATGTTGAAACCAACAAGGTACTTTTATGTAACGAGTAGATTATTATTTACTATTTGTTCTGATTAGACTACTCCTGCTCACGACCTTATAATCCGGACATTCTGCTTCCAAGCTGCGCGAACCTATTCAGCGCAGCACAGCTGTTGAAACCACTTTTCACCCCAAGCTGGGATGAATTTAGTGAATTGTTTGAACTCTGATTTTGTGGGGTTTTTTTCATCGCGTTATTTTTAAACTTTATAAGTTGACTTTGCATTTTTGATGATTTGTATCTGTAAGTCCATACCGAAAAGTATCAGAATCTGCAAAGTTGTGTTTTACGTTGCATGTGATCTTTGATGAGTAGTGAGTATTTAGGCTGAAGGGGTCGTTGTCGGCACAGGTACTACAGAGAGGTACCTCGGGTACATTTCTGTAGTACCTGTGCCTAACAACGACCCCTTCAGCAGTATTTAGTGTGTATCATGTATATTGTCTTGTATCAATACAAAAACGTATGTTGTGTATTGTATCATTGTGAATTGTATTGAAAACTCTTCCTATGTCTTGAGAAAAATTGCACGAGAGACACTTATTTTTTAAGTTAGTGTTTGATATTTGCTGAGAGTGTGTCAAACACGTTACTGATTGAGCTACTCACATTAGCTTTAAGATGCATGTAAGGCTATGGGTTTTTGCTCATCATGATATGGTGATGCATTACTTTTATGATTTACAATATATATTCTTTACAGCAATGGAGTCAGCGGGTGATGCTATGATTCAAGCCAAGAAACTTGTCCAGAAAGGGGTTGGTACTTTCACAATTTAACTACTGATATGGAATATGCAATATATGGCATATGTCAGAAGAAATTGCTTCACTTATAAGTACTAAACAAATATCAGAGACAGAAGTGTGTTAAAGTTTTACTATGATCATGTTCCTAATGCATATTTATCCCCTGCCGCGTGTTTAGCGCGAAGCGGGGGATATAGTATTAGGCTCTGTACGTCTGTACGTACAAATTGGAATATCTTAAGGACCGTTCACTAGATTCTTTTCATATTTGGTACCTAGGTTCATCACAGTATAAGAAAGGTCCAAGTCAGGTTTGGTGACCTTGACCTTCATTTCAAGGTCACAAGGGGACTTTAACGTTTTACCTGCATGTTAAGCTATCTCAAGAACCGTTCACTGGATTTTCTTCATATTTGACACCAAGCTTTATCTAGGGAAGGCGCAGGGCCCAGTCGATTTTGGTGACCTTCACATGTATTTCTAGGTCATGATGACACTTTGAAGATTTCAGCATGTAAACCTGCATGTTAAGCTATCTCAAGAACCGTTCACTGGATTTTCTTCATATTTGAAACCAAACTTTATCTAGGGAAGGCGCAGGGCCCAGTCAGTTTTGGTGACCTTCACATAATTGTCATGGTCATGATGACACTTTGAAGATTTCATCATGTAAACCTGCATGTTAAGCTATCTCAAGAACTGTTCACTGGATTTTCTTCATATTTGAAACCAAGCTTAATCTAGGCAAGGCGCAGGGCCCAGTCAATTTTGGTGACCTTCACTTAATTTTCAAGGTCACAGAGACACTTTGAAGATTTCAGCATATTAACCTGAATTGTCAGCAAGATATTTCAAGAATGGTTCACTGGATTTTCTTCATAGAATTTCAAGACTTCCCTTGAATGTTTTTCAATAAGCAATTTCTTTAGTACTATTTTTGCATATTTCATACACTATGACATTCATGTCAAGGTCAAAGTCAGTCTTGAAAATATGTGTGTGTTTGAACACCTAAAGAGCAAGATATCAAGAGAGGTTGGCTGGTCATGTTTTTGTTGACATTTAACTTAAACTGTCATTACTTTATAAGTTTGATTTGATAATTTGCGGCGGGGGATTATGTCACCTTAGTGACAATGCTTGTTTCATTTAATTTCAGTTGATAAAAATAGAATCTGACACCAGAGAGAAAACAGGCTTCAAGAGGTCAAAATACTTGGAGAAGAAACTGAAGGTAAACCTTATTTGCACTTGTCATTTATGAATATTTGAATATATATAGCTGTAGAGAAAGAGAAGTATTCTTAATTCCTCAAGGAACACTTATTATAGTTTTAAGAAATTTAATTATTCATACATCAAAGAACCAATGTCGATGACTAGCAGATACAGATCGCGAGGTGTTTGTGACGTCTCTTATCATACTTTATAATTTCCTTATAATTGTTTTACTTGTTCGCTCATCTGAAACAAGGTTACATGAGTTTTCATGATAACAGAGTTACGTTTGATATACAACATTTCTGAAAATGCTGAATTTTATGAAGATTGTGTGACTAAGATCACAGTGTCTGAAATCAAAAGACACTTGTCCATATTATCTGACAAACAAAACTACAACATGTCAGATAAAATGAAGTTATTATAATTTCTGTGATCTTAGGTGTGTGGGCGGTGGGGTAGCCTAGTGGTTAAAGCGTTGGCTCGTCACGCCGAAGACCCGGGTTCGAATCCCCACATGGGTACAATGTGTGAAGCCCATTTCTGGTGTCCCCCTCCGTGATGTTGCTGGAATATTGCTAAAAGCGGCGTAAAACCAAACTCAGTCAGTCAGTCTTAGGTGTGTCCGTGGCATAATACTGTGTTATCTTTGCAGGATCCAGAGAAAGCTCCATCTTCATCAGTCAGTTTCCAGCCTTTCTCAGCAGCAGCACAACACTCTGAGGATGATGAAAAACCAGAGGTAGGTTCCCAATGTTTGTTGTTTAAGTTGCGGTATAATGTACTTTACGGTTTCAGTAAATGTTTTATGCAAGACAGTCATGATACAAGAACAGGGGGCATGCTCATCATGCTGGACCAGGGCGGTGGGGTAGCCTAGTGGTTAAAGCGTTTGCTCGCCATGCCAAAGACCCGGGTTTGAATCCCCACATGGGTACAATGTGTGAAGCCCATGAAGCCCATTCCTGGTGTCCTTCCCAAACTCAGTCAGTCAGTCATGATGTTGCTGGAACCCATTTCTGGTGTCCCTCGCAGTGATGTTGCTGGAAAAAAAGCGGCCCAAACTCAGTCAGTCAGTCATGCTGAAGACCGAAGTTCGAATCCCAACATGGGCACAATGTGTGAAGCCCATTTCTGGTGTCCTCATGTTGCTGGAATATTGCTAAAGCCCAAACTCAGTCAGTCAGTCAGTCATGCCGAAGACCCGAAGTTCAATCCCCACATGGGTACATTTCTGGTGTCCCCCGCGCGGATGTTGCTGGAATATTGCTAAAAGCGGCGTAAAACCAAACTCAGTCAGTCAGTCAGTCATGCCGAAGACCCGAGTTCGAATCCCCACATGGGCACAATGTGTGAAGCCCATTTCTGGTGTCCCCCGCCGTGATGTTGCTGGAATATTGCTAAAAGCGGCGTAAAACCAAACTCAGTCAGTCAGTCAGTCATGCTGGATTTATAGTCTAAATGGGAAAGAAGCCTGTTACAACTGTTTTCGCTCTGTTTTGAGTGAGAACAAGAGGGTTCAAACGATGATGACATCAACATGTATATGATTAAGACAAACTGTAACATGTGTCTGTCACTCATCTAGAAAATTGTTTCCCTTTTCAGACTTCAACCAGCCGACCTAAAGTGAAAGGGTTGTATGAGAGTTTTGTCAGCACTGGAAACAGTAAGTATTGATGTGATAAACCTTGACAAACATCATTCATCTTTGGTTGCTTGGCCTCTTCCATACTGTGAGGATTATCAGGTTAGATTGTATCAGTTGTAGCGTGTTAGTGCAATTTCACATGTTTGGATACTAATCTGACGAAATTGTTATCATGCAACATATCTTCTGAATTATCACTGAAATTGTTCTCATGTGACATATCTGCTGAATTATCACTTTAAATGTTATCATGTGACATATCTGCTGAATTATCACTGAAATTGTTGTCATGTGAAATAACTCTCCGATACTTGTAGGATATGAGAGGGATCGAGAACGTGATCCTGAGCGTGAACGGCGAGATTCGCGAGATGACCGCCGTGATGACAGACGAGATAGGGAGCCTCCCAAGAAGGGGCGGACAATCTACATCCATGGCCATGGCATCAGTGAAGAATTGCTGAGGAAGGCTGGTTCCAACTTTGGCAATGTTGTAAATATCTCCATGGAAACAGACAGGAAGTATGTACAAGGCTGCTGTATTAGATATCATCATTGTCATAAAATCAATCTTGTTCTTTACAAATGTACCATTTGAATAACATTCATTGTTGTCATAAGGAAATTTGAATGTTAACTGAAGTCTGAAGTCATCACTGAAGTCTCTGAGGGGGAAGGGGTGTCGGTAAGGCAAGTGGTTAAGGCATTCACCCCCAACCATGATATTGCTGGAATATTGCTAAAATCGGCGTAAAACTAAACTCATTCACTCACTGAGAGGAAAACAGGTCATCAGCAGTTTATGCTGTTTGTAAGATCTATATCACTTGCTGGATTTGGTGGTCTACCTGTGTCATGGTTGACTGCATGTCAGTAAAATATCCTGTTCCTTGTTCTGCCTGGTCCAGATTACGTCATTTACCCACTGCCATGTCTGAAATATTTGTGACTGTTACGTTAAACGAAAAAACAAACACAAAAGCTGTTATTGTGCTATAACTATTTGGTCCTACACATTAACACAGATGAGTTTATTTGATGTCTGGTTTATGTATTTCCCTGGTGAATACCAGTCAGGCGAGGTGAATTGGGGTTAATGTTATATTCAAAACTGTTGCGCTTATATCGCTGCTCACACAAGCTGTTTGGTTGAGTACATGTATATATATATTGCATCCCCTAAAGACACACTACAATATTTACAGTACTGAAAGATTTACAAGAAATGTTAAGTTCCCATATGTTCCTGGTGCGTTTGATCAATTTTGATGATTTCTGTAGTTTTTACATGAGACTTTCATTTCAACAGTTGTGGGTTTGTGACGTTTGAGAAGTTGGATTCTGCAGAACAGGCCATAGCTGAGGTAGGCGTGAGACCTGCCTGGTCCAGACTCAATTATTCATGGCCCACTCTCATCACATATGCTGAGCTATAGCTGAGTGCATGTCTACTTTGTGAATTTATATTCTTGAATATATTTCCAACATGTTTAATGAAATTCAAATACGCCAAATACCTTAAGCAACTAGAGCTTTCTTTCACAAGCCCAACTTGTAAGAAATGGTTCTCACTCACTCACTCAATCACCCAGCCACTTACTCACTCTCGCTCACTCACCAAAGCACCCACCCCTCCACTCACCCAAACACCGACCCCTCCACCCACCCTGTCACTCACTAAAATTGGGCCTATTTCAGATGAACGGAAGTATGATAGACAATGTGCAGCTGAAAGTGTCCTTGGCGAGACGGCAACCTACATTTGAGACGGTCACCGACCAGTCAGGCCCAAACTGGTCAGCAATAGGTGAGCATACAAGTTCATAGAGAACAGCTTAATGAGCATGATTAGGCTAACTAAACTGAATTGTGTACTTTTCATCCTCCAAAAATATAATAATAATGTGTCCATTTATATAGCGCCATACTCCACACTAGGTATGTTCATAGCGCCAACAATCAAGGCACAGCACATTATTACCCCGGATAACCCAAGCTGCCTGTTATGAGCTAGAAGGTTATAGTCAAATTACTTACCCCACCGGGTACCCATTTTCAGCTAGGTGAACAGAGGTAATTTTGAACACTCACTTGCCTAAGGTGAGACCACATATATCAAATGTGCTTCGTTGTGGGGCAGGACTGAAGTCCTAGAAACTCACAGGAGTCAAACTGCCAATCACAGTCATCATCATGGTCATCCACGGTTTGTTAAACAACAAACAAAAAAAGCCTGATTTGAGTTCATCTGTGGGTACTCAGAGACCGTATTGTAAATGATTCAAGGCAGTTGTTGGGTAGTGAGGTTGATGGGAATGAACATGTAATATTTTATTAACATTTTTAGATTCAAGTTTTAAATATATTTTTCTACACCCTCGAGTCAAAGCTCATTCAGTCAAACACTGTTATGTAGAACTTTGATCTGCTGAAGTTGTGGTTGTCTGGAAGTGAAAAGCCTTCATATTCCTTATCACTTTGTAAATTTAAATATTTTGGAATTATTACAGAGTTTTTGCAGAATCTTGAAACAAAAGCTAGAAAGTGTATATAAGTGTATATAAGCGTATATAAGTGTATATAAGCGTATTTAAGTGTATATAAGTTTTATATAAGTATATATAAGTATATAAGCATATATAAGTGTATATAAGCGTATATAAGTGTATATAAGCGTATTTAAGTGTATATAAGTGTATATAAGTATATATAAGTATATAACTTCACAATGTTTCAGCTGCAAACAATTCTCAGAAGGGATCTGGTCACAAAGACAAACGGAATATGGTTGTGTACAATGAAGACGATATCTTCTGATCCTCCAAGTCATGGAGATTCTCCTTATAAAAGTAATGAAGAAAGTTGTAGTGAAACAAAGACATATATACAACCATCTCATCGACTGAAAACAACTCACAAAGTACTGACACAGATTCAGAAGACTTGTCCAGTTGTAAACAGCCCCCATCCACCATGATGCTAAACCTGTTGTGGGCATCCTAGACTGAACTGGTGATTGGATGGACACACTCTGTTAGTTGGTTGATTGTGTAACATGCTCTGGGGGACAGGGAAGTGGGCATGCTATCGACCACTGGTTTAACTGGTAAAGTCTCATCTTTTATGTGTTGCAGTGATAATCCTCAAGTATGTTGAAGTGGGACTGTAAAATACAAACAATCCTGCAAGCGGACAAAATAACATTGGGCATTGCTCATCAGCTGCATGTTGTTTGTTTTATGAATGTTGTTTTCCACAGGGAATCTGGGCTAGAATCAGTTCTATGCTTTTCATGAAATGCACCTAACTGGATTTGGTGGCCAGACTCTAGAACTTGGTTCAACGTATGTCAGAGGATGATGATGTTGCTCATTATATCGATCACCTGTTTGTTTGGTCGTGACTGGATTATGTTCAGGCTTCAACATTAAACAACATTCAACTCTGCTGCAAGATGTCAGTTTGTGATATTCATGTTGACTGTCTTACTGATGTTGCTGTATTGAAGTTAACTATACTACACAACATTTGAAAGGGATAACTGAAATATAACAGTGCAGACAAAATATAACACTAGTTTTAACTTTTACATTACACACCTTATATGTTATTTTGTCTTCTCAATGTTGTTGTCTATGGGGATGGGTTAGAGTTTGGGTTAGAATTGGTCCCATGCAAATTGGTCCCAGGGCCTCCGGGTGTAGTGTAGTGGTTAGAGCCGCCACCTCTTATCAATGTTGTTGTCCATGGGGAGTCTGGGTTAGAATTGGTCCCCAGCAAATAGGCCTCTTATCAATGTGGTGTAGTGGTTAGAGCCCCAGCCACCTCTTATCAATGTTGTTGTCCATGGGGAGTCTGGGTTAGAATTGGTCCCCAGCAAATAGGCCTCCTCTTATCAATGTAGTGGTTAGGAGGTCCGTCACCTCTTATCAATGTTGTTGTCTATGGGGAGTCTTAAGTTAGAATTGGTCCCCAGCAAATAGGCCTCCGTGGTGTAGTGGTTAGAGCCACCTCCTTATCAATGTTGTTGTCCATGGGGAGTCTGGTCTGGGGTTAGAATTGGTCCCCAGCAAATAGGGTCCTCCTGTGTAGTAGTGGTTAGAAGCGCCACCTCTTATCAATGTTGTTGTTGTCTGGGTTAGAATTGGTCCCCAGCAAATATGGGGAGTCTGGGTTAGAGAATTGGTCCCCAGCAAATAGGCCTCGTGTAGTAGTGGTTAGAGCGTGTAGTGTAGTCCATGGTTAGAGCGCCACCTCTTATCAATGTTGTTGTCCATGGGGAGTCTGGGTTAGAATTGGTCCCCAGCAAATAGGCCTCCGTGGTGTAGTGGTTAGAGCGTCACCTCTTATCAATGTTGTTGTCCATGGGTTGTTGTCTGGGTTAGAATTGGTCCCCAGCAAATAGGCCTCTCTTATCAATGTTGGGGGAGTGTAGTGGTTAGTGGTTAGAGCGCCACCTCTTATCAATGTTGTTGTCCATGGGGAGTCTGGGTTAGAATTGGTCCACCTCTTAGCAAATAGGCCTCTGGTAGTAGTAGTGGTTAGAGCGCCACCTCTTATCAATGTTGTTGTCTATGGGTTAGAGTCTGGGTTAGAATTGGTCCCCAGCAAATAGGCCTCTCGGGTGTAGTGGTTAGAGCGTCACCTCTTATCAATGTTGTTGTCCATGGGGAGTCTGGTTAGAATTGGTCCCCAGCAAATAGGCCTCCGTGGTGTAGTGGTTAGAGCGTCACCTCTTATCAATGTTGTTGTCCATGGGGAGTCTGGGTTAGAATTGGTCCCCAGCAAATAGGCCTCCGTGGTGTAGTGGTTAGAGCGTCACCTCTTATCAATGTTGTTGTCCATGGGGAGTCTGGGTTAGAATTGGTCCCCAGCAAATAGGCCTCCGTGGTGTAGTGGTTAGAGCGTCACCTCTTATCAATGTTGTTGTCCATGGGGAGTCTTGGGTTAGAATTGGTCCCCAGCAAATAGGCCTCAATGTTGTTGTCCATGGGGAGTGGTAGTGGTTGGTGTAGTGGTTAGAGCATCACCTCTTATCAATGTTGTTGTCTATGGGGAGTCTGGGTTAGAATTGGTCCCCAGCACATAGGCCTTTCATAAAAGGCAACTAATTGGATTTGGTGGTCATGCACAGTGACTTGTTCGATGGCTTGTCACAGTACATCTGGATGGCGCTCAGTGCGTTAATCACTGGTTTGTCTGGTCCAGACAGGTCTAGTTACAAGTCTCAGCAATAAAGAAGATAGGAGTCTGCTACAAGATACCAGTTTATGAAATAAGGCCCGTCCGGCCGCCCGAGACAGTCTAGATATCTGACGGACGGTCTAAATTTAAAGCTAGCCAGCCCGGTGGTCTGGTAAATATTTTAGATGTTCCATACATCTGAGTAAATTCACCATATTTGGTCTAGTTAAATCCATTTTGGGCTGGTAACATTTTGAAGTTACCAGCCCTGATGTCTGGCTGGAATTTTGGCTTATTTCATACACTGAAGATACCAGCTTACTGGAAAATACTGGGATACATAAGAGAAGCAATTGTCCACGTTTTAAGATGACTTGGAGGACGGTGGCTGATAGAAAGACCATGTGCAGCATGAATACAACTGAGGTGATGACTTGTAAGACTGAACACCTTCTTCAGTTATTCAGGGGTAGACCTGTGGGTTACAACACTGAACATGATTTGTGAGGTTGTAGTTTGTAGTTTGGATTTATGAGGTGATGGGGTTTTCATTCCTGATGTCTTAGGGAAATATAACAAGGACCGGTCAAGTCCAGTCTCGTGGAACATCAACGCTGTGTTCCACACAAGTCCACGGAAACAATAGTGATGATGTGAACATTTGCACAGTGATGGAATGGAGTGGAGTGGAGTGGAGTGGAGTGGAGTGGAGTGGAGTGGAGTGAGGGAGCGGAGGGAGGGAGTGGAGTGAGGAAGAGGAGTGGAGTGAGTGAGTTGAGTGAGGGAGCGGAGGGGAGGGAGTGGAGTGAGTGAGTGGAGGGAGGAAGTGGAGTGAGTGAGTGGAGGGAGGGAGTGGAGTGAGTGAGTGAGGTGAGGTGAGTTGAAGTGAAAAATAACTAGAGTATCACAGATGGTGTTTTAAACTAGCACGTAAATTTAACACTGTTTTACTTTTAAAGACAATACTTATAAAAACAGGGGTGTTGCCAACAACTACAACAGATCACCACACCAGGGACCACGGGGACTTACAGTGATTTTGTTACCTGCTTGAACCCAAGCGAGATGTTGGCGAATATGACAAATTTTGCCAAACATAAAACGAACACATATTCTAAGAATAAAAATATTGTAGAAATAAATACGCTTTGAAAGACTGTTCAGTTAGGTATCTAAACATGACTCCTGACAAACAATAAAAGCCTTTTTATTGACCAATCAAGGAAACTTTATAATATATCAAGATAACATTATATTGATATATCCAGGTAATTTTATATTGGTATGTAAGGGAAACTTTTTAATGATATATATATATTGTGGAACATTGTTATTGATCTATCCATGTAACTTTTTCTTGATATATCAAGGAGACTTTTAATAATATATCCTAGTAGCTTCTATTGATATACTGAGGAAACATTTTAATGATATACCCAGGTAACCTTATATTGATAGATCCAGGAAACGTTTTTTAAATATTTAAAATCTTTCACTGGAGCTGTATGAAACATTCTCACAAAACTTTCCAGATGAAAATCAAAGCAATAGGTCTTGATTTTAAAAAAAATAGTGTATACCTTTTAAGAAACTGCCGCCATGTAGCTGGAATATTGCTGAGTGTGGCGTAAAACTGAACTCACTCAGTCCTGGATTACGGTCTTGTATGTTATGTGCAGTGACATTGTTCTTTACTAGAGTAAGAGTACGAAAATAATTACCATTTTATTATATCTTTTTCGTAAGCAAACCTTTCAAATGTGGGACACTATAGTAATTGAGTGTTGTTAGGAACATTTTGTCCTACTGTACATGATGAGCAGAGATAAGTGTGTAAAATCCTACGGCAAATGTTGTTTATTAACAGAAGCGCACGTAAAATGATTGCTTTTTAGAAGAAAATTAAAGCCTAGCTTTGGTATATGTAACATGCATAAATAAAAGAACGAGTACAAGTACTATTTTTTTATCACTTTATTTCTTTTTCTTTGGTACAAATAGGGTATTTTCTTCGTCAGTGTGAAAATTGGAAGTGAATATATTGTGATACATAGTAAATACATACGGGAGAGGCATGCTGTACAATATAGTATGATTATGTACCATTTTTAAAAAGACTATTTTGGAAATCGGAAAACACATTAACTGACAAGAAATTATTGTTGATGATAAAAACACTGATTTGTTGGTAGTGGTCTTTTTGGTTGAATGTCCGCATGAGGAAGTCGAGATGCCAAGGCAACGTATAGATGCTGAAAATATGCTCAATATGGTTCCAACATACACGGTTTATTGTGTTTAAAACAGGGATAAAATCGCTGTGAAACTGCCACGTTTTATCGACTGTGTCGGATCTTCACGATTAGTTGCGGAATGAGCCGAACGCTCCGTCGAATGCAGGTTAGAACGTTATTCAAGACTCTCGAAAGAAGATGTATTGTGTTAAACACAACGGAAAAATCGCTGAAACTGACAACGTTTATGAGCTATGTCGGATCTTACCGATTAGTGGCGGAAAGAGCCGAACGCGACTAAAAATCCAGTGTTGTTAAGTTAGACACAACATTCCTCTTGGCACGGCGATATTTTGACTATGTGTCATGTAGTTTGTTTCTCAACACTCGACGTGCAATCTACACGTCCTGCCGCGAGGGCGATATTTGACCTTTCAAGATATTAATATTATGAAACGTCTTTACATTTTAACACCTGTATCCTTCATACACATTAAGATCGTCAACTTTCCTTAGATGTGTTTATCTAACATTGTTAAAAGATCACGTGGATTTTTTTTATACACATCCATGAAAAAGTTAAAGTTTAAAGAACAAATACAAAATAAAATCCAAAGTTTACTTTTCAAGACTTTAATCGTTACAGTCCACGAAAACATTCCTTGAATAATAAAAAAATCTTAGATAGTTTCTGATGGCTTATAGACGATAAAGTCTGTTTATTGATATATCGGAGACCTTACGTCGCAAATTGCGCTGACTCAAACTGAAACCTCCCATGTTCATATTGTATATTAACCTCCTCCGTGGTGTAGTGGGTTAGAGCGTCCGCCCGGAGAGCGGAAGGTCGCGGGTTCGATCCCCGAACGCGTCATACCAAAAGACGCTAAAACATGGTACTTGTTGGTCCCTGCCTGGCGCTCGGCATTAATGGGTACAACAAGGACTGGTCGGCTCTGAGTCAGTATAATGTGTCTGAGTGGGGTATTCATGCTTCACTGCGGCATGGTATCTCAGTGGGCTAGCACT